TCATTATATGAATAAGATATTAAGTGAAAACACATAAAACCTCTCCTTTATATTTACTTCTGTTAAACCTGTAGACATGTTTTTGGTCATATGATGCCAAATTTGCAGTAATGATCAATTCCAATGGTTAGAATTTAGCGCTTTCCAGATGCTTTAATTTCCAACTTCATAGAAAATTCCAAAAATATATCTTATGATTTTCCAAATCCACCTATATTTCTTCTTTCCACTGTCCATATTGTAATAAATAAGATGTTCGGGTAAGAGATTTATTGTTGGAAGGAGCATTCCAGGTCCTATAGCCTAACCACCTCATTATGCAGATGATAAAACAGAGTCTCAAAGAGTTTAAGTGAGTTGTCCAAGGGCTCCTCACAGATAAAAGTGATAAAAATGGGATTTTTAACTGAGATGCTCTCTCTCGAAATTCAGAATTGTTTCCACAGAATCATACTCTGTCACCTAATTTTATCTCTTTTATTTAGATTAACACTAACACTATTAACTTAAAATAACCCTGTGAGAGATGGCTATAAAGTACTAACAATAAGAAATGCAAAATAAAACTACTCTAAGGTTTCATGTTACTCATAGACAACTAGTAAAGATGACAAAAATAAAATAAAAAGTCACTCTTGAAAAAAGGTACAGTAATGGATTGTTGATATAGTTGTAAGTTGGTCCAATAATTCTTGAAAGCAATTTGTATTTATGCTAAGAAAGTGGCTACAATGTCCATGTCCTTTCACCCAGAGAACCTGTTTCTCAGAGTATAACATGCATGGAAGACAAAGATAGAAAGGTCCCATAGACGCAAAAATATTCATAGCAACATTTTTTGTTACATCAAAGTACTTGAAATAAAATATGGGCCTAGTGATTGGGAAATAGCTTAATAAATTATGGCACATGAATATAATGAAATATTACTGTACTTTAAGAAATTATGTACATGATTAATAGAAAAGCATGGAGTGATGCAAGGTAATAGAAGCAAAGCCAGAAAGAGAATATACAAGATGATAAACCAACATGAATGGAAACAATTACAACAACAATAATAAAAGCTGAACAATGTGTCATTATACCTAGCAAGCATGGCTCCAAAGAAGAGATACAGTGTGAAAATGGACCTCACTCCCTTCCTGACACAGATTAGATTTTCTGAAATGCTGTTTCCCCCCTCATTCGATGAACATTGTGTACAGACCACTGTTCTGCTCCTGACATTTCTCCTGGAGTTGTTTGGCAGCAAATAATATCAACGATTCCTTGACCCTTTCTGAAGCCATTTTCTAGGTGAAGGATCATCCTATTAAGGAGGACTCTGGCAAGAATCTTATCAGCAGTGACTAAGAGAGAGACCCACAGTGTGGTTGTCACAGAACAACCTATTTCCTTTACCTTTGTAGAGATGGACAATGGAGGCATCCTTGAACTCCTGAGGGATAATCTCCTCTTGCCATGTAACTTAAAAGATTTCAGTCAGCTTTTGTATAAGCAGTGGACCCCTGCCTTGTAAATCTCAGCTGAAATAGAATCAACACCAAGTGCTTTGCCACAGGAGAGGAGCCAATGACATTCAAAGTTTCATCTTCAGTTGGAAGTTTGGCTAGAGAGGAGCTGACTTCAACCTGAGATATATGGTCAATGACTTTAGCTTTGGTTGATGATGGTCTTTTGAGAATATCATGGAAGTGATCAGACCATCTGTCAAAGATCATGACCTTGTTACTAATCAATGTGGCTCATCGGTACTGAGTAGTTGAGATGCACCATAGGTCTTTAACCCACAAATAACCTTCAGGGCATCATAAAAGTGCTTTGGATTATTACTATCAGTGTAAAACTGAATTTCGCCTGCCTTCTTACTGAGTTAAGAAGCCTACATTTTTCTGAACTTTGCTTGTATTTTATTTTTGCTAGACTTAAATTCTGCCTTCTTAGAGATGAATGAATTAGGCTGTTGGTAAACCCTTTGTATACCAAATTTCTGAAAGCTGCCCACTCCTTTTCTGCTTCACTGTTGCCAATCACGTGTTACTTCAGTTTTCCCTTCAAGCTAGCAGTAAATTGTTCATGAAGGAAAAACACTCTAATCTCTTGACATTAAGCCTTCTGGTGATCCTCGTGCCTTGAGGTTACTGCTTTTCTTCAATGTAAATTTTAGCTTGGAGAGGATAAATCTATGATCAATCCAGAAATCTGTACCACACATGGCCTTGATCACTATCACAGCCTCTCTTTTTTCCTTACAAAGACAGTCTATTAAATGTCATTGTTTACAGAAGGGTGAATTCATGAATTTTTATTGCACTTAGGTAAATGGAAGACAGTGTTGGTGATGAGGTCATGAAATGCATGTAATAGTAGGTGTAGCATCTTCAGCAGTAAGTGATCATTGCTGTTACTTTTTCTGACTCCATTCTTCCCAAGAACTCCCTGCCATTTCTATAGTCTGTGTCTATTTTGGCATTAAAGTCACCGAGAATTACAAGCTTGTCCCCTTTCAGCACATTAATGATGAAGGTCTCTAGGTCTTCATAAAATTATCCTTTGACCTCATCAGAGTTCATCATGGTGGGAGCATATGCACAGATGAAATGTCACAGCACTTCCTTTAATTGGCAATCCTATTAACATGAGCATTTATTCACTGCTTTTTAGAGGCATACAACCTTGTTGATCAAATTAGATTTGATTGTGAAACTGACATCAGTTTGAAAGCAATTCTCATCACAGTGAGCACTCCAGAAACACTTGCATCCAGCTCTGACTTTGGTCAACTGGTATTCGTTTGCCAGCCTTGTTTCACTCAAGCCTGCTATTTGAATATGATACCTGCTGAGTTCTCTTGCAGCAAGAGTTATTTGTTTTTCAGGTCTACTGGATTTTTTATTGTCCATAAGCATGTGCACATTCCAAGTACCAATGTTGAATGGAATCATCTTCACAAAAGTTTTTGTACATTTTTTTTGCATGTTTTGACTGCAGAGTAGGATCCTGGCCTGCTGTGGTAAGCATGTCAGGGTTAAGTTAAGTGAAGCAAAAAATTTTAGGTCACTTTTCTAGCCCCTTCATCATGATAAGAGGTGAACAGTGAAATCTTTAAAAAAAGGTTGCTCAGACACTCAGGGGGCTGCTGAATCCCACTGCTACTTCAGTACACTAAGAAGGTAACCCAATGCTCTGGGCTGTCTGTATGCAGGGTTGTGACTACAATTCCCAGTGTATCTGCACCTGCTGCTTTATCCCTTGCACATTACCACTGGACTTCAAGGTAGATAAAAATGGTAAAAAGTTATGGGTGATGTCTTTTGACTCACACATAAATTGTATTTAGGGAGGCAGAGCTGTGCCTGGGTATTTGGGGTATTAAGAGAAGACTTACAGCTATGTCTACACCAAGCGTGTGAAAACTTAGTTGGTAGAATAGGCAGATGTGAATAATTTGTTCTTATGGGCCATGATGGTGGCAGAAGCCAGCACTGTGGAGCGCTTAGAGCTTGGTTAGACATCAAGACATCAGAGATGTCAAGGTTTTTCACTATATTCCAAGCCATTGCCAGTTATTTTGACTTTTATCTTGCCACTGGATTCTAATGGCTCAGGAAGAAAGAGAGAAGCCAACATGGCCCTACATACCTCATGCCTGGATTACTGCAATAGCTTTGTGGTTCATCTCCATGACCCAAGTTTCTCCCTATTAAATCTGACCTCTATTCAGATGTCAAATTGACCTTCCTAAAGATCCAGTCTGACACTGTCACCTCCCCATTCAATAACTTCCAGTGCTTCCTTGTCTTCTCCAGGATCAAAGAGAACATCTTCTGGTGCTAAAAGCCCTTCATGACTCTGGCACTTAGCACAGTTCTTGGAGCATAGGAGAGACTTGATAAAATACTACCTGATTGACTACCTTGCCCATTTTCTTATGCCTTAATGTCTCGCAAATATTCTGAGATCTAGTAACACTGTCCTGCATGCTATTGCTCATGCAGGACACTGCATCCTCTAACTCTATGAATTTTAACTGGCTGTCCTTCACATTTGGGATTTTCTCCCTCTTCATCTCTGCTTCTTGGCTTCTCTGGATTCCTTTAAGTGCCAGCTAAAATCCCATATACTATAAGAAAATTTTGCTCCTAGTTTAATATGACCCATATACAAGGTGTCCCAAAAGGCTTAATTCAGTTTGAGCTATTAAAGCTAAAAATTTATCCTGTTATCATTTATGGCCACAGTACACTTACTCTTATCTTCCTCCAAAATGCTAAGTCACGATGAGTAAGACAGGAAGGAGCCATGAGCTGTCCAATTCTGTCCCTCACTCAATGGAACTAACTCAGCAGAGGTGATGAACGCCCCCTGGTGGCCAGAGAGCTACATTAAGAATAGGGTTTAACACTTTAGAAACTTGCTCACTGTGTGACCTTAGGCAAATCACTGAGCATTAGTTTTCTCATCTTTAAAATGTAGAGTAGCACACACATCAGAATTATAAGACTCAGATGAGGTAACATTTAGAGTGTGCTATTAAGCAGTCCTTTAATTGGGAAAAAAAAAAAAAAGCACAGATCTCTCACCCTTCATATCTCCCAGAAATGGGAGTACCCAAAGACTACTGCCTTGTTCTCTTTGCTAATATGTCAGACAAGTTAGTTCATACAGTAAGGGGTTTGAGGGAATGGGGGGGCAGGAGGAATGATCTCAATCTCAATAATCAAAGCACCTATTATTCTTGTCAAATATTTCAATTTTTTAAATTATGAATTCTTTTGCATTTAATAAACTGTGTTCTAGATTAGCTACAGGTTTGCTAAAATGGTTTCTTAAAAATTTAAATTTAAAGTCTGGGTCTTCTCTTAAAAAGAAAAAAGTACTTTCATTTTCTTTTTTGCTCTGAATTGGTTCATCCAATCACAGTCCAGTATGCAAATATCCTCAGTCAGTTCAGATTAAAAGGAGCAAATAAAAAGTCACTGGTTCAGTCAGCACAAAATTGCTGAGCTTGTCTGCTGTTTGACTTCACTCGTGTCTCTAGAACCAGACCTCAGTGAATCCAGCAGAAATGAACGTACCTGAGCCACTCACCAACTTGAAAATTCAATATACTAAGGTTAGTAGATTAAAACTGCATGTCTGTTACCTTACCTTAGGTAGGTGAAAAATTACATTTGTTTAAAAAGTGGGAAGGTTAATTTAAAGTAGCCTTATTTAAAGTACATTATATAAATTAACAGTAGCTATACATAATGGGAATTTCCACGAAAAATCTTACTAAATGCAAGACATTAAATAGGGAAAATGACCTTATACAACTTTGTCAGGATTCTGATGCTCAACTGTATTAGCAGGGTTCTTATAGGAGCTAGTGCAAGTCACTTAAGGGCCATAGTTAGCCAATGTGTAGTTTTGCATGTATGGATGTTGAGGAGCAGGGAATAGTTAAGGGTAATTATTTCAAGAAGCATATTTGAGGGAAAAACTGAAGGAAAATCAGCATAGTGTATTGTGCATTATGAATACATTAATTTATCTCACTAGATACTCATTAGATAACTTACTGCTATTGAAACAGATGCCTAGAAGCAGACTAGTCGATATTCATAGGAACATAGAGCCAAAGCAAGTCTCCAGCCTTCCCACTTATGGATTCATGGCTAAAGTGAAAATAAAATATGGCTCCAACTTGTTAAGTCTAGAAATGTTTCTGTGATATTCAAACTGTTATATAAAAGTCTGCAAATCAAATCACAGGACCTGTGAAGAAAGATTTTTCCCCGCCCATCTCACTACAGTTGTGATTTGTTATATAATTTGAAACTGACTTTAACTGTAGTTCACAGCAGAAGATGAGAATGTTTCTGTCTGAACTCTATAAATGATCAATTTTGCTTTCTGAGCAAACCAACATTAATAACAGAGAAATTGGGAGCAGAGAAATAACTCTTATTTGCAGCCATGGAGATCTTAAGCATTTTTAAATTTAACATATTTCTCTTTTCATAAAACTGAGTATTATGGGCTTTTTTTGAAAGTGTCAGATTCTGCAGATCATTCCAGAAAGTGCTTTATTTGGGGGTATAAATTTTCATTTAATCTCATTGCACAAAATGTTTTATCAAGTTTAGGGAGTCAATGAATCCTGTAAAGAAATAACTTCTATATTCCTACCAGTTGTCAACTCCAAAGTTATTGTACATTACAGAAAACTTTCTTCCCCCAAAAGAGGGCACCTTAAATTAATTTTTAAAGAGTAATATTCCACATAGTAGCTGGCTTAATTCAGGTTGATTAATATAGAGTTTTCTGCCATAAATGGATAAGTGAAATCATATAAATGACATAACCTCTTTGGTCCTCAATTCTCTTTCTGTTTCTATAGGCTGATTTCGAATAAATGTTATTTGTACCCTTTACCTCCAAAATTTTGACAATCCCTGGTCTACTTTTTTCAACTATCATGTTATGCTTAAGTAAAAGCATATCTCCCCAATCCAAACGAAAAAGCACAAAACCCAGCTTCCTTAATTGGTGGGCATGGGGAGGTGGGGAAACTTGATTTGTGGGCATTAAGAAACATTTTGCTGAATAAAAACATTTTTACAGTTTTCACCTTGTTAGTGTATGTCAAGGAAATTTTAATGTTAGGTATTTCCACCTTGCAAAAAAAACCAATACAAGAGACTTCCAGATCATGTGAGTGACTAACAAGATGGCAGACTAAATATTTACTCCAATCCAGACAAACTTTCAAATCTTTTATGTAGGAAAAAAAATGAATTCTATGCCAGATCTAGATTTATTAAAGAGAAATTTAACTAGGTAAAAGTATTCTGGATTAGCAATGAAGAATAATAATCCTTAAAGCACTCACTCAATCCCCTTCTCCCATCAGACTCCATACTATTGTCAAGGATGCAGAGACCAATCTGTGGGCTTCTGCCTCAGATCCACAATTGGACTACCTTTTGTTGGTAGCATACACCATGTCCTGCTCACATGCCAACCTGCATTGATTATATCAAGGCATATGAACAGGATTGAAAAAGGAGTAATTAATTTATACGTGATGGGGGAGAGGTTAGAGAGCCATGTCTGCAGAAATTCTGTCCAGAACACTTTTTATGCCTACCCTTGACCCTGCAAAAAGACACAAACATTGATTCAGTCCAGTCAGAGAAGAAAAGGATGAGAGCTGAGGGAAGAAGAGGGATAGTAGGCCTGCAGGAGGTGCTGCAGTTGACCTGGAAGAAAGGAAAATTAAGCCCATCTGAAGAGAGAGGCAGACAGACAGACAGACAGAGATAGAGAGAGACTGAGACAGAGAGAGGCAGACTACTTATAGCAAAGACCTTAGCTAGTGAAACATAAATCCTGCTGCAAAGGAGAAAAATGAAGCCAATTTACCACCCAGTCTTACTCCCCTCTTTAAGTGGGAAGAATTACAAATTAAGTAATATAAGAATATAAGGAAAAGAGGCTGAAATATTAAAGATTTCAAGCTATAACACAAGAACACACCCTAGAACCTCTTAATATAGCAATTAGATAGATGGAGCTCAATCTTGCTATACATCTTAAGCTTTACTATAATATAAATATATATATATACAAAATACAGTATGTATGTATACATATACATGTGTGTTATAATGCAAAAAATAACACAAGAAAATAGTCCAAGAATTCTAAATAGAGAAATTGGTTATAAGGTGGAGCTCAAACTCATAAGCTTTCATTTACAAGGAACACAAAGAAACTAAAGAAGCAATAAATAAGTTTATAGACCAAAAATTACAGAATAAAAATAGAGAATATACAGAAAGAAGAAAGAAATATGAAGAGAACAAAGTAAGTAATCAATCAAATAATGGGTGATAAAGGAGAAGAAAAAAATTGATAATTTAAAGAAATTAAGAAACAGAAATCAATAAATTATGTAAAACATTAAAACTGGGAAAAGGGTTGTCAAATAGCAAAAGTAGTGAAGTGGGGAAGGAGAGCCCATGAAAATTGGGTTTTATTCAATAAGAGGAAGAAAAACCAGGGCAGCTAGGTGGTGCAGTGGATACAGCACCAGCCCTGGAGTTGGGAGGACCTGAGTTCAAATCTGGTCTCAGACACATAACACTCTCTAGCTGTGTGACTCTAGGCAAGTCACTTAACCTCAATTGCCTCACCAAAAAAAACAAACAAGAATAAGAAAGACCAATCACTGCAACAAAATACTAGCTTAAAAAAGGAATGGGGACTATAAAAAAATTTAAGCAATATTGTTGACACAAATGGAGGAAAATAATGGAGATAAATGAGGAAATTGCATTATGCTTAAAGGAACCATAAACAACAAACCAATATCACTATTTAAATTATATTCTCTAAGTAGCTCAGCATCTACATTCATAAGGGAAAGTATTTACTAAATTGAAGAATGATTTAGAATATGTTAACACTATAATAACTGGAAACTTTAATGTTCCTTTCTCCAAACCTGACAAATCTTAAAGAAAAATAAACCAAAGGGAAAACATAGAATTGAACAAGTTGTCAGAGAATTTAGAGATGAATGATTACTGAATGAAACCACTAAATAACATATTACACACACACACACACACACACACACACAGTTGACATTTTTTATGAAAGCAGAGCATGTATTGAGATGCATAAAATTTGCAAATAAATGTGAAAAAGCAGAAATATTAAACATATTTTTCAGAAACCACAACACCATAAATAGTATTAAGATAACTCAATTAAGGTAGTACAAGAAAAATGTGAAAAACTAAATGGAAACTTAAGAATGAAATCCTCAATAATTATTGGTCAAAGAACAAATTGTATTTTAAAAAATCAGAACTAACTACAAGTCAATCTACCCAAATTTCTGAAATGTTGCAAAAGCAATCCTCAAAAGTTTTGTTGCATATAGTAATAAAATAAAGAGGATTTTTAATGGAAAATCATATAACAAAATTAGAAAGTCAATAAACCAAAAATAAATTAAGACATCTTAAAAATTAGAAGAGACATAGATAAGTTGAAACTCAAGAAGGCAGATGGGATAAATAAAATTACATGCTTATTATTCAAAAAGACTAATAATTAAGATACTAAATCTTAACCAAATAGTGTGATACGTTCCCCCCCCCCCAGTCCTAAGTACGTGCTCTCATTTGTGCAAAAGCTTTTTTCAGTTTCATAAGACCTGATTTCTTTATTTCATATTTTTAATTGGCACCATCCCTTGTGTGGTTAACAATTAAACTTCTCTACATATTCATTAAAGATATACAATTTTCTTCATTTATGATTTTTTATTGTATGATCTTTAACACAATATGGAAACTATGGCCAAAGGCCAAATCCGGCCCACAGCTTGTTGTTGTGTGGCCTGTGGGCTAAGAAAGTTTTTCACCTTTTTAAATAAAGTTGTATTATATCTTAAAATTCAAAATATAATTTTATTTCATTAACCATACAAAGACAGATGACAGGCTATATTCAGCCTGAGGGACACAGTTTTTACCAGTCTTTAATGTGCAGATGAATTATTAATTTTGAATTTATCATGGAGTATAGTTTAAGATATTTCTCTACCCTAATTTCTGCAAGATTGCTTTCCAATTTTCCTAGCAGGTCTTATTAAATAGGGAGTTCTTTCCTAAGTAATTACATGCTTTTAAAAAAACCATAAATGAACAAAATAGAAAAGGGAGATTAGTGAACTGAATATGGACAAAAAAAATTGAAACCTGAAAAAAGCAAACTCCTAATGAGCATGAAAGATGAAATCTTGAATGTTAAAGGAGAATTATATTTAATCAAAATTGAAAAAAGTCTAAAGAATTGATAAATGAAATTAATTACTGAAGGAGGAGGGGCAGAATAGAAAGGCTTGTTGGTAAGTAGTACTATTTTTCAGTCTTTTTTTTACTAGAAAGGTGGAGGTTGGACTGGGAAGGAAGCTGATGAGGAAAGAAAGGTTTTGAGAATTCTCATATTCTTAACTCCTGGGCCACTGACATATTACCTTCCAATAAAGCATAATTTGTGGCACCTTTCACAAGTTTCAGATTCTGTTTTAACCCTGTTATGAGAGGAAGAAGAATTTTTTTTCACACAAATATCCATTCTAACCTCTGAATATAGCCCACTCCTAGGCATGTATCTAACTTGCTATAAATATTTATTTTACTGTCTCTCATAGATGAGAAAATTTTATTCAAAAGCAAAATAAGGGGTACCTTATGTGATTTTATTGGGAACGACCTATAACCCTTGAAATATCTACCTATGATGCTACCTAAAATGCTAAAATCACAGTCACTCCATTGAATCTTCTTTCAAATTAGCAACTTCTTTCCAATTGCAAAGGTCTCTACAAAGGTAACATATCAAACTGTCTTTTTTCACAGTGCTTTTTCATATGTGCCTTAGTGTTTACCATGAATGTATCATTATTTTCTTCCAGTTAGAGTTAACTGAAATAAGACACTGGGGAAATGGGGTCACTGAATATCAGAGTGGGAATGGAACTTAAGTTACTGCATCCAATGTATTCCTGAATAGCAGCCCTTTCTATGACAAATCTTAGGGACACTCATGCAGTCCTCACTAAGGAGTAAAGGAGAATGCCTGATATCCCAGCTTGGTCAGGATCACTTCTCTCCATATTACTCAGGAAAAGGCTCAAAACTACACCATAAACCAGAAGAGCATATTAGCTATTGTTTATTATTCTGTAAAATCCTTTCCCTCTATTAATGTGAATAATTGAAAGTTGAATCTCTAGTCAAAACATATGTGGTAATGAGTGCTAAAATTCTCTGACATTCCTAACTACTGCTAGTCCTATATCAAATATTACACTGGTGTATTCCTTTCTTTTTTTTCCATTTTAAAAATTTTATTTTCAGTTCCAAATTCTTTCCTTCCCTCCACCTTCTCCCCCCACCCCTTGAGAAAGCAAGAAAAAGAAAAACAAAAGTGTTACAAATAGAAATTGTTCTGTGTGACCCTGGGCAAGTCACTTAACCCCAATTGCCTAAAAAAAAACAGAAATTGTTATACAAAACAAAGTCCCACAATAGTCTTGTCCCAGAATAAAAATAAAGGGAAAAAAAGAAATACTTTTCAATCTGCACTCTGATTCCATAAGCCCTCTACCTGGAGCTGGATAACATGTTTCATCATTGAGCCCTTTGGCATTATGGTTGGTCACTGTATCTTTTAAAGTTGATTATCTGTATCATATCATTGTTATTGTATAAATTGTTTCCCTGGTTCTACTCACTTCACTTTGCATCAGTTCATATAAGTTTTCCCAAGTAGATGCATTGAATTCGGAGGCTGGAAATCACATAACATTCTGTAACAATTCATAGCATACAGTGAGTTGTCAGCTTAGAGGCTCTCTTTGATGACAGGTGTGCTTCACTACTCAAGAAAACCCAATGATCAAAAATACAAATGCACAACACAGATTAATTAGCACTAGGTAAAACCAATTAATGAGTATTCTTAGCTTTGAAGAATTTTCAGTAGTCCTTTAAATACCAAGGTCTCTAAAGAATTTAAGTATCTATTTATAAACCATTACTTGCTGGAGAGGGAGATAGGAATTAGAAACTTGCAAGTGAAGTATTAAAAACCATTTCCAATGGAAGACTAATCAGAAATTGACCTAAAGTATATATGAAATGTTAAATTGCAAGTTAATGCATAATCCTTAATATTTGCAAATTCAGTCTACATGAAACTTCCCAGGAACACAATTATTGTGTAAATTGAAGTATACCTATATCAAAGTTGGTTATTCATTTTTTTTAGCAATTTCTAGTACCTGAGAGAGCCCAAAAAGGCAGTGCATCAGGTTGCCACAGTGATTGCATAAGGAACAAAAGAGGACAGTCAGGAGCACATTCTAAAAGGATTAGACATTAAGGAGATATGTGAGGCAATTTTGATTGTGTAAGTTACAAAACTGGTTTAATCATTAGACATTGTAATTAAAGCATGCTTTGAAAAACAAACAGAAATGAAATTCAAATATTTGTCCAAATGTGAAGTCCCATTGCTTTGACTTGCTTTTCTGAGTTAAGAGGTCTCAAGGCTTCCAGTAAGTATTCTTTGTAGTATGTAGGTATAAAAAATTGTTTATACTTACTTTGGTGCTATTGTAATGACTTTGCTTTTATTTTGAAGGGGAGTTCTTAGTGGACACATGCTACATGCTTCATAAATTCCTCAGAATAAAACTTAGAGGGAAGACTTTAAGACTTTAAAGCATTTGGGTTATAGGTATCAAGTTTTTTGTAGTTTTTTTTTTGTAAATTTTCTTTTTGGTAAAGCATAGGATGGATGTGAGTGGCTACCCTCTCATTTTCCCTGATGAGTTTTTGAAAAGCTTAAGTGATTGCCAATATTAATATTTAATTTTTTCAAAAACACATTCTTGAAAGTTATACCTCAAATTTGACTATCATACAAAATTGACATGAAAGTTCAGTTTTCCCTTCCCCTAATTTGTGCTTTGACACTTATTTTTCTGCTTTGTTTTCATTTTTAAATTTTCTGTGATTTTTTCTTTTTTTCTTTTTCTTTTTTTCATTCTTTGTTATTTCCTCCTTTGTTCTATATTTTTTTTTCTGAGTCTCATTATTGCTTCCTGCTCCAGATTTTTGTTGTAGACTTGCCTTCCAGGAGAGGTAATGAATTATAGTGGCAAAAAACACTGGTTATAACATCACAGGTCATATGAATAAAGAATTAAAGTTCAAAGGATCTTTAGAAGTGATTGGATCCAAATCCTATGCTAATAACAGCTGGTATTTATAGAGCCTTCTCAGCTTTGCAAATCATGTTATTTGCATTGTCTCTTTCAATCCCTACAACAGTCTTTCATGATAGGTACTTTCATGATAGATACTACAGGTATTATAATAGACTATTTTATCAATAAGAAAACAGAGACTTGCCTGTGTTTCATGGTTGAAAGTGATAGACATCAGATTCCAAGTTGACCTTTCCTGACTCTAGGTCTAGATTGATTTCTGCACATGTCTAAGTGCCATGCTATATACTTGGAGAAGTAGAAAGGGTATTGCTCTTGCAATCAACCATCCTGAGTTTAAGTCCCAGAGGCAGGAATACATGCTTACATGAATGCATGGATGCATGTGTATGTATGTGTGTTTGAACATATATACACACATATATACATACATATATATTTCTGCTACCAACAGAACTTTTTTATTTTATTATTTTTATTTATTTATTTCCAAAATAAACCAAAGATGGATACAGGAATTGCAGAATTATAGCATCTTGGAGTTAAATGGGTAGAAAAGTGGTACCATTGAGATGTGTGAATAAGATGTTTTGAGCATTTCATGCTTAATCACTGTGGGAAACTTTCCAAGGCTAATGCACTATGTATGTAATCTCAATTTCCTTTTGTTTTTCCCAATAGATATTTATAAACAATGAATGGCATAATTCAGTGAGTGGCAAGAAATTCCCAGTCATTAACCCTGCTACTGAAGAAAAAATTTGTGATGTTGAAGAAGGAGATAAGGTGAGTTTTCTCACATGAGAGTTATTTGGGAACCTTACTTTCTCTCATTCTTTTTTTTTTAATATTATTTATTTATTTTTAACATTTAAAAAAATTTCTCTCCCCCTCTCCAGCCCCACACCCATCAACTGAGAAGGCAAACAATATGATATCATTTAAACATGTGAAATCATGCAAAACACATTTCCATATTAGACATGTTGCAAAATATAAAATGAGAAAATAATACTTCAATTTGCATTCAGAGTTCATGAGTTCTCTGAAGGTGGAATAACCTACTTAGCAAAATTGTGTAGAATCCTTCAGGGAAAAAATGATGGACATATAATGAAATAGAGGACTTTCAAACATTACTGGCATAAAAAGTCAGAGATAAATAGAAAATCTGACATTCAAAGATAAGAATCAAAAGAAGCTTTAAAAAAGGAAGACATAACACAGAAATGATAAAAGATTCAAGAAGATTAAAGTGTTTTTATTGCCCTATGGGAAGATGGTTCATGTAAGTCCTAAGAACTTTGTTGTTATTAGGAGAATTAGAAAGAGTCTACATAGACAGAGGGCACAGATGTGAGTTGATTATGTTGGGAGGTTTCTCAAAAATAAATAAAGGAATGAGAAAGAGGGATTCACTGGGAGAAGAGGGAATGAAGAGGAAGAATGAGCAAAATTATCTCACATAAAAGAGGTGTGCAAGTAGGAGTTTCCACCCTGGAGGGAAAAGTGGGTGTGCAACACTAGAACCTCACTCTCAACTGAACCAATTTAAAGAAGAAAGAACACACACACACACATACACACACACACACACACTATACACACACACATACATAAACCATATACTACTATATATGTATATACAGTATATATAGTGGTATAAAATATAGTATATATTTATATATATATATATGCACCATATATTTATAGTACCATATCTGGTATGTATATAGTATTATATATACTATATCTATATATGTATACCCTATGTATTATATGTACTATAGTCCTATGTATAGTATGTATATAGGATATACTACTATATTACTACAGTATATGATATATACTACACACTACTATAGATGGTATATATGTACTATATATGGTGTATGTGTGTATAGATATGTGCATGTGTATATAGATATGTAGACATATATTTGTATAAACACACACACTTAGTTGGGTATAGAAATCTATCTTAACCAATAGGTACATAGGAGCAGATGGGGAAAACACAAAGGGATGAGGTGATAAGAGAGAAAGTGGATTAAGGGAACCAGTGGTCAGAAGCAAAACAGACATTTGAGGAGGAACAGGATGAAAAAAAAAGAGGGAGAAGGATAAACAGAATAAATAGGATGGAGGGAAATACACAGTTCATAATTATAACTATGAATGTAAATGGGATGAACTCGCCCACATAACTGAAGTGGATGGCAGAATGGATTAGAAACCAGAATCCAGCACTGTGGTGGTTATTATGAAGCCCACTTGAAACAGAAAAATAAACACAGTTAAAATAAAGACTGGAGCAGAATCTATTATACTTCAGCTGAGGTTTAAAAAAAAGGCAGGAGTAGCAATCTTGATCTCAGACAATGCAAAAGCAAAAAAAAAATAGATATAATTAAAAGAGATAATTGGGAAACTACATTTTGCTAAAAAGATACCATAGACAATGAAGTCATATCACCACTAAATATATATGCACCAAATGAAATAGCATCTAGATTCTTTACAGAAAAGTTGAATGAGTTACAGGAGGAAAGAGCAAAACTACTAATGGAGACCTCAAATTTCTCCTCTCAGAAATATATAAATTTAACCATGAAGTACGTAAGAAAGAAGTTAAGCAGATGAATAAAATTTTAGAAAAAGTTAAATGTGATAAACATCTAGCAAAAATTGACTGGGAATAGAAAGGAGTATACCTTTTTCCCCCAGCAATACATGTACAGCTACATGTACTTTCACAAAAATTGTGTTAGAGCATGTATTAGAGCAAAAAAACCTTACAAATGGAGAAAAACAAATATTAAATGCACACTTTTCAGACCATAATGTATTAAAATTATATTTAATAAATGACATTGGAATCATAAATAAAAAATTAATTGGAAACTAAATGACCTAATCCTAAAGAATCAGTGGGTTAAAGAACATATCATAGAAACCATCAATAATTTTATTAAAGATAATGACAACAATAAGATCACATGCCAAAATTTATAAAATGCAGCCAGGATGAGCCAAGCACTAGTGTTTTAAGGAACCCTGGTGTTCCATTCTATGTAAATAGTAGTTCTGTAGGGGAAAAAATATCAATACTAAAAACTTTCCCCTAAAATATTAAAAACAAAATTATATATTTATCAAAAAAGTAAAAGGTTTTGAGTAAGGGATAAACACAGCCTTTGTCATGAAATGAGACCTGCATTTGAAATGAGAACATTTGGATTCAAACCTCAGCTGTCCCATTGTGTGATATTGGCAAGTCCATTCAATTCCCTGGGCTTCCACATTCCTTTGTGGTAAAATTTGGAAGTTGGGCTAGATAAATACTTTAAGTTCCATTGCAGATTTGCAACATATTAACCTTAGAGCAGTAGTAAATTTTTCATGTAACTATAAGATCGGGATGTGATCCTATGATTTGAAATTATGTAAATCAACATCTGGAAAATATGAAAATCAGTAAAAATAGACATTATGTTTGCTCTTTTTCTATGAAATTTCCTCCAATGCTCTCTTGTCTGAGTGGTGTTCATATTTTACCGTCTTATGAATTCTACTACTACATGTTGTTCGATGGCCAACTTACGTTGGGAAATAACTCAAGTGTTCTTCCTCTAAACTTAGCTTTCTTGGACTTTTTAGGAGGATGTGGACAAGGCAGTGAAAGCAGCCAGGCAAGCTTTTCAGATAGGGTCCCCATGGCGGACAATGGATGCTTCAGAGAGAGGACGGCTCCTGAACAAATTGGCTGATTTAATGGAAAGGGACCGTCTGCTCTTGGCAGTAAGTATGCACCAGATGAAGGAAGGGATTGGTAGAGACTTCAATTGTTCTCTTTATTGTGAGCTGGTTTTGTTTGCAATGATACTATCTTGCATATGTGTGTATGTGCATATATACATACATATTCATATATGCATATATACATGCATACACATATGTGTATGTTTATATATATGTATGTGTATATGTACAGACAGCATAAGAAATGCCTTTTGAGAATGTATTTTTCCTCCCTCTGTTGAAAGAAATCTTATTGACAGTTTCTTTAATAGGTAGTTGTAGTACTAGTTGTAGCAGTAGTAGTGGTAGTGGTGGTGGTGGTGGTGGTGGTGGTGGTGGTAGTAGTAGCATTAATAATAATAAATCAATATTTATATGGCACCTTTAGAGGATTATAAAGCACTTAATCACAGAAGTGGAACAGATCTGGAGAGCATCTAGTTTAACTCTTCTACAATTTAACAAAAAATGTCATCTAGCTTTTGCTTGAAAGTCTCCAATAAAGGGGAAGCCACTATTTCCAAGGTAGCCCATTCTGTGCTTGGATATCTTTAATCTTTTAAGGAAGATTACATCTTTACATTAAGTCTAAAATTGCCTTGTTGCACTTGTACTATTTAGGCCTAGCTATGTGTGCTATGACCAAGCAGAAGAACAAGTCAAGTCCCTTTTCCATGTGACTTTCCTTCAAATACTTTTTGGCTACCATATTAAAGAGCTGGCACAGATTGAACTTTCATCCTACTGAAAGGTCATAGATCTTGTTCAGAAGAACTAATATCTAGCTCCTCTATACCCTTCATACCTTTTGTCTGCAAAGCTGATTCTTTGAGCCCTTGTCTGTAACAATATTCTGTTTCTGCATCTGTTGTTCATCATCAAAATGTTCTCCATTATGCTCTCCTTTCATTCAAGAATTTGCTCACATAGGCATTTCTTCTTAAACTAACACACTCCTTTATTCCCACTTTTCCTCTATTCTTTCTTTGGAAAAAGGTTCCATTCTACAAGCATATTTTAGCTATTTACCTCATTTTGAGCCAAGGCTCACTGATATCTATCAAATCAAGTTTGCCTCCTTACATTAAACTCTTCTATTAAACTTCATTGTTTCCCATATATTCCCATATATTCCCATATATTCCCATAGATATTGTTTCCCATATATATTCCTATATACTTATGCATAGATGCTTGAGGCTACATGTTGGTTTCATTGCTTGCTCTTTTCTTAGATTTTGTGTCTTTGAATTTTGGGGTAACCACTACCATTTCCATTAACTAGTATAGCTACTCAATATGGTAGTATTAGCTTGGTAAGCAGTTTTGTCCCTCCTTTCTTTTCAGTCATAAAATGCTTAATTAAATTTGCAAGATACCATGATAATTCATTCTTACTAACCCTTTTTGTGTGCTACATCTTTAGCCAAGAGCCCATAACTTCTATATTTTAAGTCATGATCTATACACATACATATATGTGTGTGTGTATGTATATATACATATGCATACATATATATACATACTATATATAATTCAGTTTTCAGAAAAGAATCTTAATGAATTGCTTACTTTCCTAACAATAAATTTGTGCAGTTGATATTAATTAAAATTATCTACATGTTATGGATAAAGATACTCAGTGAGATTGTGACCTATCTAAAGTTTATAGCACCATTAGATTTTAATACTGAGAAGAATGTTAGCAATTGTCTAGTCCTGAGCATCTTTAACTTATACATAAGATGACTGAAAAATGATTTGTCTAAGTCCACCTAGATAGAAATTATTAGAGGCAGGATTCAATGCTGGTCTCCTAACTCTAAATCCAGGATTCTTCCTACACAGAGGTAATAAAAGTTGAATCTTATCATATTTATTTAACCAAAGCATCATGTAAATTATCAAGCCTCTGGTAAATTCTTCTATCCCTAGACTGACAAATTCTTCTGTCCCTAGAGGTGGTAAGGAAAAACAAAAAGTGAAAAAAACATTTATTTTAGAATTAATAATGTGAATATATGTTTTGACATTCATATCATTCATATGCACAATGCATCTCTTGGGCTATACTTAATATTTTAGTGATTTATAGGTTAGCAGTTAATCAATTAAAGAATGTGACCCCCAAAAACCAAATTCATAGAAGTCCTAGAAATTTAGAGCTGAAAGTTATCTGAGGAGACATGTAGTTGGATGCTGTTATTTAAATAGGAAGAAAACTTTGTTATGTATAAAGCTTGCTTGGAGAGCATTCCCATCGAACCTTCTTTCTTCCAATCAGGACTAAATGAGACTTGAATTTATTCAATCCAACAACAATGTATTTAACTTTTACTCTATATGGTGCTGTGCAAGGTGTTGACATTACAAATATAAAATAAGACTTACTGCACCAAAACAATAAATATCAGAAATGGTGTCTACCTGGTATACCAAACAGTGTTTTGAGGATCAAATTATATTAGATCAAAGGGAAAGAAAAGAATGTTCATTTTTGTAGGACTTACTATGTAACACATATTGTGCTAGGTGATTTATTACAAATATTATCTCATTTGACCTTCACAACAACCCTATGAGGTAGGTGCTATTATTATCCCCATTTTACAGCTGAAGAAACTGAAGCAGACAGAGGTTATATGACTTGCCCAGGGTCGTATAGCTAGTAAATGTATGAAGCTAACTTTGAACTCAGGTCTGTCTAATTCCAGTCCCAGCCATCAATGCACTACACCCCCAACTGACTCACAATTGTTCAATTGATATAATTCATGTGAAAGAAGCTAATAAACTGGAAAGTGTTATATAAATTTTATCAATATTATTCACCCCCTTCCAGAAGAGAGTTGCCACAAAGAAATGAACACGATCTTTTATATAAAATACCACACCTTGCTAGGATCAAAACACTATCATTTTGAAAATTATGAGCCTTCAGAATATAAATTATTCATTCTATCAAGTGATATCTTGTCAGTGCCTCACTGACTATCAATTGTCTATTATGTGCAAAGCATTGTACTTAGTAGGCGAAAAGACATGGTCTCTTTCTATATTAAGATTATAATCTATGGGGAGTTGGGTGGGAAGGGGAGAGAATATGCCATATATATTAATCTTCCTTACTGATAGATCAGTTCATGTCATTTTCCTGTTTAAATTCCTTAATGATTCCTATTGCTCACCAATTGCCCTTCAGGGCAATCCCCCAATGTGATCACATCCCAACCCCACCACAGCCTTATCTAATATTGCTTTGTTTTATGTATTCTCCTTTTAATCTGTGAAGAGTAAAAGATTATCAGATGAATACTTTGGCAGTGGTGTGTCTCTCAGAACATGATGGAAGCCCCTAAAGATATATTTTCGGGAGTAATCACAGCAAAGATATGTGATTTCTTCAGTAGGAGGAGCTCCTGGTCTGCTAACTCCTAATATCCTACATATGACTTATTTTGGACAGAAGTCTTAGGATGTTGCCATAAGCACGTAGAGCTTAAATGGCATCTCCAGGATCACTTTATTAGTAACTGTTAGAAGAAACAGTTAAACCTAGGTCTTCCTGATTTCAAACCTATCTACCACTCTTCCCTCCTTCATTATATCAGATTATTGCCTGAAATAGAATTAATCTAATACTTTCTTTTAACAGTAAATGAAACTCAATTTGGAACCTGATCTTTTTTTCAGACAATGGAATCACTGAATGGTGGAAAAGTCTATTCCAGTGCCTACATGTTAGATTTAGGTGTATCTGTGACTACTATACGCTACTATGCAAGCTGGACCGATAAGATTCAAGGTCGTACGATCCCAATTGGTAAGTAAATTTGAGAATCACTTTTTAAAAATGCATATTAATGGTTGGTGCTAGAATTATTTTTAATATTCTCTACCACTCTTTCCTCCTTTCTGCTAGTCTCTCTTCCTTTGCTTTAGTCTCAGAGAGACTTGGGAATCTCTTTGCCAAAGCCAACCCTTCTACTTGTATACAATATCCTATTCCCTCCCATCATCACCAGCAGATTGTATTCCACAGTCATCCCCCCTCTTTCTTGAATCTTGAATCTTTGCCTTTAAGCAGGTTCCAGTTTTCCTTATCCTTAATATACTTTCACTACACCCTCTCAATCCCCTCAAGTTCTCACCCTTTATCTCTCACCCTTTCTCAGTCAAACACCTTGAAAACAAAAAAAAAAACCCTAAGAAACAACTTTACATTAGTTGTCTCCAATTTCTCTCCTTTTACTCCTCAGTCATTCACAATCTTCTTTCCACCCTCATCACTCAACCGCTGGAGTTCTTAATTGCCAAATCTGATATTCTTTTCTCAGCCCTAATCCTTCTCAACCCATTTGCTGAGTTTCACATATTAACTATCCTTTCCTCCTGGATACTCTCTCCCCTCTAAGTTTTTCTGACACTACTCTCTCCCACTTTAACTCCTGCCCATCTGACTGTTTCTTCTTCTTTTTTTTAATATAAATAGCATTTTATTTTTCCAAATACATGTAAAGACAACTTTAAACATTCATTTTTATAAGATTTTGATTTCCAAATTTCCTTCCCTCCCTCCTTCCCTCTTTTCCTTCCCCAAGATAGCAAGCAATCTGATATAGGTTATCCATGTGCAATTATGTAAAACACATTTCCATATTAGTGACTATTTCTTCTCAGTCTCTGTGCTGACTTATCCATATCCCATCTTCTAACTGTGGGTGTCCCATAAAGTTCTTTCTGAGGCTTCTTCTTTTCTCCCTTTATATTCTCTTTTAGTAACTTCTTCAGTTTCCATGGGTTGAACCCTGGTCTCTAAACAGATAATTCCTCTTTTATATATCTAGCCACAATCTATCCTCTGAACTTCGGTTTCACATCCTCAATTACCTTCTAGACATTTCACACTGGGTATTGTAAAGATATCTTAAGAACAATGTTTCTAAAATTGAACTTATTATCTTTGCTGCTAAACTCTTTTCATTTCCAGATTTTAATGCACCATTCTCCTTCCACTGATCACATTCATTGACTTGGACTTTTCACTCTCCATACCCAATCTGTGTCCAAATCTTGCCATTCCTATTTTTATGACAACCTTCTTATCTAATACCTTCTCTCCACTCACACAAATGTTGGCTTTGTTTATGCCAGGGGTGGGGAACCTGCATCCTTGAGGCCACACGTGACCTTCTATGTCCTTGGGTGCAGCCTTTTGACTGAGTCCGAGTTTTATAGAACAAATCCTTTTATTAAGGTAATTTGTTTTGTGAAGTTTGGATTCAAAGGACCACACTTGAGGACCTAGAGGGCCATATGTGGCCTTAAGGCAACAGGTTCCCCACCCCTGGCTTAGGCTATCATCTTCTCGGCAAGATTATGAAAACAGCCTCCTAATTGGTCTACTTTTCTCAAATATTTTCTCACTCCAGTCAATGCTATCCACTGCTGCCAAAATGATTTTCTTTAAGTGCAAATCTGACTGTGTGACTCCTTTATTCAATCAGTTCTAATGGTTTCCTAGTTCATTAAGGATCAAATATAAACTCATCTATTTAAAATTTAAAGACCTGGTCCCAACCTATCTTTCCAATTACATTGAACACTATTCCCCTTCCTACACTCTGTGTAGGAAGAAACTGACCTTCTCTGTTACTCATACATGACACTCCATACCCCATTCCATGCTTTGGTAATGGCTTTCTCCTATTCTTCTAAAGCATTCTTTTCTTACCTTTTCCTCATAGAGTCCCTTTCACCTTTCAAAATGCAGTTCAAGGTCTGGAGGAAGCTTTTCTTAGATTCCCCAATTTTGTGCCCTCTCCTCCAAGTTATCTTGTATTTTACTATTTTATATATATCTTTATTATTACATATCATATTATAATTCTATATGGTATATCTTCTCTATTTATTAACTTTACATTTATACCGAATATCTTTTTATATGTACTTATCTCCCTCACCTGAATGCAAGCTTATCACAAGTAGCCTTCTTTGTATGTGTACACCAGGTTCCTAGTACAATGCTTGACACAAAATGATGCTTAATAAAAATTTGTGGTGATTTGTTGATTAATAATGAAGAATTTCTATTGCAAAAATCTGTTAATATTTATTATTTGCCATTCAAAAGTTCAGCAAAATTTTGTCATTAACAGGCTTAAGAAATTTTTTTAAAAATAAATACAATATGAAATACACTAAATTACAATAGTTATTGAAAAGAGTAAAATGTAGCACACATACACCTATGTATAGGTCAGACATTTCAAAACTTACATTTAATGTTATTTCTCATTTTGGGAAGTTTTCTTTTGTTTTTAATCTGCAACAAAATATTATGCTTATATTTCAAGTAATAGTTAGTTGACGTGTTTTTAATACTCCAATAACATACAGGTACAGCCACCTGCCCCAGCCTTGCCTTGTACCATTAATTTAAACTATTGCTGAATGTTGTTGACTCAGAAAAAGATAAAAATGAATCCATAGTTTTGTAGCTTTGAGTCTCAGATTGGAGATGGGAAAGAACACATTTGGGGTTTTTTGTTTTGGGCTTTTTTAATGGTCAATGCAGGTAATGTTATGGAATGACAAATACTTAGATATCTCAAAACCAAGAATTGCTAGTATAATTCAGCTCAGCCAGAATTCAGAAAAGAAGAAATTTAAATAACATACTTGACTAAAATTACTTACTAAGTGAAGGAGAGGCAGAGTTTGAGCATAAGGTTGGGAGATCAGCCGAGTGTTCATCTAAAACCTGCTTCTAAAGAGCAAATGGAGGAAAGTTGTCCTCAAGACACGCTCTACTTCCAGCATACAGGACTGACTTCACTTTCCAATTTAATGAGCCTGATAGTTGAAGATTTGGTGGAAATTATCTTTAAGTTTCCCTAAGGATTTAAAATAACTCTAGCAACACTGAAACTACCTAAAAACTAATAAAGAAGCCCAGCCAAGGTGAACCACAGATATGAGATGGGGATTGGGCAGGTCAGCAGCAGTGAAACACAGAATGAGAATGACAAGAGAGTAAGGAAATAGTGATATACAGACATGGGGCTTTTGGGGGGAATCTAGTTTCTATTTTGATAACGTGCAAGAAGGAATAAAGTGTACAAATGGATTGAAATGAATGAGTATTGAATAGCAACAAACATTTAAGCATCAAAGTCATTTCTTTGCTAGGTTCTTGGGAAATGCAAACAGGAAAATTAAATAAAAATTAGCAAGAAAGGCAAAATTTAATCTTAAGCAAGTAGAAAGAAGTCAAAATCAGATTTAAACCAGAAGGCTTTGGGTAGGGATAAGAGAGAAAAAGAAGATGAGGGAATGTTTATGGCTTTCTGTTTTTATTATTTAAATCATTTAGGACAGGCAACTCATGGAGATGGTACCACCAGCCAAGGGAATCAAGCATGACTATTTTAGAAATCCGGAACACTCTTTTGCTGTTAAATCATTGATATACTACAATTCCAGGATGGCATTTTGCCTTGCCCACCTGCCTCCACATACATGCCATTCTTTGTTATTTTCCCACTGATTTTCTGGAAATCTTTGCAAATAAGTTTCAGAATTCTTTGAGAGGCTGGATTATACCATCTTTTGAGTCTCTTCCAACTATCTATGTAGTTGTTCTGACATGACTTGAGTGCGTCATTTGAGTCACATCAAATACCATACCATATAATAAAGGTCACTTAAATAAAAAAAAAATAAACCCACATTTGTAATGGTAAGATTTTAAATGTCCTATTGATAAAAAGGAGATGATAATAGCATATGCTATTACACCAGAAAACATTATGAAAAATCCCTTTTTCTACACAGAAAATATTTGCCTTTGTTTGCTCCTACTGGCTATTTCAGAACAATACTTGTCTGATACACCATGTTTTTGGGTTTGTTTGTTTATTTTGGTTTATTTCAGATGGAAAGTTTTTCTCATATACAAGACATGAACCTGTTGGTGTTTGTGGCCAAATCCTCCCTGTAAGTTGTTTCCACATAGAAAATCTTGAAAACTCTTTTTGAAAATGTACATTTTTAAAAATTCCTGTATCAAGAGTCCATCCTTAATGAGATTTCCTTTAAAACTGAAGGAATATCACCTGGATGTTGAAAGATTTGCACTTTCCAGTATGCTATTTAGATAGGTAAATAAATAAATAATAAGATAAATAAATGAATTGATACATAAATAAATGTAGATGAATATAATACCACAAATACTTCACTGATCTCTATACCTCCAAAAAACCAGTTGATCTGCTGAGTGGTTTCTACTGCTTGAAACCCAATAAAACAATTTGAAAACAATCACAAGTGGGCAAGAGAACAAGAAGTATTTCAGCCTTTAATCGCTTATTGTCACAATGAGAATTTGATTCCTACTCCATGAAACATTATTCTTTTGGCAAAAAAATCATGCATAAGGACACAAATCGAAGGGCCAACCTTGTCCTTCCTTCCTAGCCTCACACTCAGCAGTTATTTTTTTCTAAAAGTTCTTTTAAAATATTTGTGAGTTGCCATTGAACTTGTACTCATTTAAAATCTATAAGATCCCAAGTTGAGTTGGTTCTCCTATAATTACTGCTATTTAATGTTTGGGAATTGTCTAGTGTGTGGGAAACATAGTGACTGAAATTCCGTTCATTATTTTAATATTTCACAAATCCATAGTTTCAACAGTGCGGATTCTCCCGTCTTTAATCTTAATAATATTCTCTCAATGGAGATATTCTTCCTAAGTTGTTTTTGAGAGTTGGTAGCTACTCCTCTGATTAGCCCCTCCAGACATAAGTATCTTGGTCTTTAGATGACATGTAACTTATCACCTCTCCTAAAATCAAAAGGCATTTAGCTGGATAGAACCTTCTTGAACTTCCATTCCACTGCTCACAGTCACCTTATGCCACCATGAGGCATCAGGGTATGTGTTTAAAGAAAAATATGATCCAGTATTAATGAAGAAATCAATGTTCATCTATTGCTTTATAGTGGAATTTCCCTTTGGTTACACTAGTTGTGAAAATGGCACCTGCCCTTTGCTGTGGAAACACTGTGGTTGTCAAGCCAGCAGAACAGACCCCACTCACTACTCTTTATCTAGCATCATTAATTAAAGAGGTAAGTTTGCTAAGTCACAATGTGCTCTCTACCAATCTACTATGTGAAAAATTGGAGTACTGCTGTCACTAAGAAGCAGTCTGCTAATCCAAGTTCCTTGCTCTGCATTATGTGACACCACAACTTTACCTAACTGCGAATTGGCTATTGGGCCATACTCATTGGGAGAAAACGTTAAAATCCTTGACACTGACTTCAGAAAATCCACATAAATATATCCCAGCATGGAAAGACTTGCACAAAATGATGTAGCAGGGAGTAGAACCAAGGTAATATTGTTTACAGTAACAGCTATATGGTTTTAAGAATGACTTTGAGGGGCAGCTGGGTGGCGCAGTGGATAGAGTCAGGAGGCCTTGGAGTCAGGAGGACCTGAGTTCAAATCTGGCCTCAGACACATAACACTTACTAGCTGTGTGACCCTGGGCAAGTCACTTAACCCCATTGCCTAGCCAAAAAATAAGAATGACTGAGCAATTATGTCATTTTGACTATTGCAAAAACACCAATTAAAAATAAGGGAGACATGAAAAAAGAAGCCATCTGGATCCATAGAAAGAACTGATAAATAGAAGTATGTATAGAATAATTTAATACATACATAACTATTGTGTCTAATGGTGGCAATTTCTAGGGGGAGGAGAAGAAAAAAGAAAAAAGAAATTTACCTGATATCTTTGTGTCTCTGGAGGGAATAAGAAGTTGTACATGATAGATTTGCTGTTTCATGTACAACCATCTTTTTTATTGTACTACATTATGGAAATGTTTTTTTTCTTCCATGAATTGAAAATAAAATAAATTTGCTATGCAAATATAGACACATATCTGTGTGTGTGTGTGTGTGTGTGTGTGTGTGTGTGTGTGTGTGTACCCAAGAATAAAGAGAGGTCAGAAACAAAGTTCTCTGTGCTTAAATGTCTCAGAAATACATTTTAATTCCTTATGTTGCTTGTTTTTCTGTTTAAAAAATTTAGGTAGCATCATATTTAGGTTACCAATACACCTTTTTTCGGTTTGTTTAGATTGTATGTGGTTTTGAATACCTTTCAATGGTTACCATCCTCCCTACATACAAACCTTATTTTATTATTCTTCAATATTTCAATTTCACAGTGTACAAGCTCTCTCCACTGACATGGATCATGCCCACATTTGTTGTTGTTTAAAGTTGAAAGTCTTGAGAGTTGCTGCAACTGAAAAATATGATACTCTGCAAACAACAACGCCCAAACTTAGGCTGATTATTGGACAGTTGGTATAGATTTCATCACTGGTCTGGTTTCAAAGCTTTTCTAGCTCAGCAGGATCTTCCAGGGCATGTACTTTGAGCCAGATAAGGAAACTCAGGTCTCCTCTAAAGTCTTACTCTAATACCTCATTGTAATGTGAAATATTTAAAGATGGGAATGTTCTTTTCTCCCAAGAACTCTAACAGCTAAATCTGACTCTTCAATGGTCATTTTTAATGTTGTAATCTAAAAGCATTATGGGAATTAAATATTATATCATGATGAGGCCTTAGAAAAAGAACCAAGCAGAGTAATAGATGGAGATAGATCAATAGATAGAAGAAATATGTACATACAATTCAAGACTCCCTTTTCTTTCTAGCATGGTTACTACCATCTCCATTTTATCAGGAATATCTTCAGAACACACCAAAGATTTCTGTCATGATGAATGAATGAATGAGTAAATGAATGAATGAATGGAGTGAATGAAATCATGCTTGGAGAAAGAGTGATTTTTTTTCCTTCTGTTCTTCTTCTACCTCATGAAGGTAGAAGGAATCCCCAGAAACCTGAATCATCCCAAGGTTAATCTGAATGATCTTTTTGAAAGATTTTTCACTCTTCAAGGGTAAAATAAATAATGAAAATGAATTAATAGATGGAGATTTCCTATTTGGTATAGCTCTTCTATAATTAGATTCTGAACTTCCTGATAATGATGATAATAAGCAAAGTGTTTTCTATTCATAGTAGTTTTAGATCATTTTTCTCTGGGATTAATTTGTGACTGTCCCTCCTTTAGGCAGGATTTCCTCCAGGAGTAGTAAATATTGTGCCTGGTTATGGACCCACGGCTGGAGCAGCCATTTCTTCTCACATGGATGTAGATAAAGTGTCCTTCACAGGGTCCACAGAGGTAAGACAAGTTAGATATTAAGGCATTCCCAATGGTTAGTTTGTGTAGCTATGTGGAGGTCAAGTTCCATTTAAATTACATTCATATCTAATGCCATCAAATATGGTTCAGAAGGAAGTAATTTAGAGAGAAAAAAGTCTTCAGTTTAATTCAACAGGTCTTCATTAAGTACCTTCTATTTGCAGTGCACTGTGCTAGGCGTGAGAGAATGGAAGCCCCCTGAAGTCTAGCGTTCTCTCTCCTTTGCTTTTGTATAGTATCTAGCAGAAGCATTAGCAGAGAGTAGGCACTGAATAACTGCTGTTTGATTGATTGATGGAGGTATTGTTATTTCCCCTCCTCATACCTGTCAGACTGCTGTTCCTTACTGTGTTTGACATAGATACATCAAAACAAGCTTGAATTCTATGAGCACACACCAACTGACAGGGTGAGGAAGGCCAAGATGGGTCACATTGATGAGTCACAAGTGGATGTATAAGAACTGACTGGGATTGCAAGCAAGACAAAGTCATGGTCATGAACTGGTGTTTACACTTAGAGTCATTAGGTAATGATGGCTACTGTGATGGAAACACAAATCAAGCCTTGGCAGTTTTAAATGACTATTCTCTATTTGGGGTATTATTTCACAGGATCAAAGCTGAGTGGTATGCCAGGGTTAATAAGATCTTATATGCCTGTGGTGCTTTAGAGATTACAAAGCACTTTTCTTACAGTAGCCCTGTGAAGAATAGCACAGGCCTTGAAGTCAGAAATTTTGGATTCAAACCCAGGTTTTGTCATTAACTTACTGTACATATTCAGCAAATCACAACTCTCAGTATCTCAGTTTCCTCTTTTGTATAATAAAAGATTTGGACTAAACAAATTTTAAAGTGCCTGCTAATTCCAATAGTCTGTGAGTTGGGTAGGAAAGGCTTAGGGAGAAGGACAGGGAGAGAGAGAGAGAGATCCATACATAAGTACATATGTTAAAAAAAAAGAGAGATTCCAAGTATATGCTATTCTCATCTACATCCATTACATTAATGTGTCTGTCTTAACAGTTTTTAAGTATAATAACCATTCAGATGGGCTCCACACAAGGATAAATCTTTTTCTAGGTTCACAGAACACAGTTGAATTAAAACTCTAAATTGGTTTTAATATAACTAAAAATACCGCAGGGAGATTCAAATATTATGTTGCAATTTATAGCAGCAATCAGGAAGTTACATGTTTTCACTGATTCATTGTTTCTATTGATGTTGGTAGTTCCTTGATTAATAGAATTTATAACCCCTTGATGCCTTCTCATTCTAAATAATTCCTGTCCATTTTCTCCTTAGAGGGTGTACAAAAAGAAATGGAGGACTTTCATTTATAATTTTAGCGTCTTCTGGGCACTCGTATACCAAATGGAAATTCTAGCTATAGTCTCTTATTCTTGTTACCTGACCACCTCCTTTTCTGATCACACATGAGCTCAGTTTAATCTTTCATACTTCCAAGAGATCATTGTTGATCATGTTCTACAGCCCACTTATATAAGCCTCATGTCTTTCTACTGCCCTTTGTACTATTAGTAATTACAATTCTTTTGAGAATATTGATAATCAACAGATTATTTCAGGAGTAAGATAGTTGGGATTGCTGAAAGTATTGTGCATTTCTCCAATTGCAATGCAGCCTAATTTCTTCCTACTATTCAATTCTACATCTAACTCATTGTCCATCTAAAGTTATACAAGTGGTCAGATTTATTTGACAGGCTATCTATTCAACTGTGATATAACCTGGGCAACATACATTTCTCATCAACTTTGGTTTCTTGTACTGCTGCACAATAATCATTTATTAAAAACTAGCACTTCATAAGCATTTGCTCAATTTTTTTCAGTTAATTGAATTGAAATATGGTACTAATATACAGTTTTATGGCACCAACTGGCATTTTAAGACCTCCCGGTGTTATTATGCCAAAGTTTAGTTTAGAAAACAACTTGTTAAATGTTAGTTATTATAATAGAAATTGATTTGGGGGTATTGTTATGCAGCAAGATCAAATACAGAGATACCTAAATGCAAGCAAAAGGTATCTCCAAATGAATCCTTCCACTTTTACTTCCCGATAGCGTTAGTTAAAATTGAGATAGTGAACCTAAAGAATAAAGGAGATCATAGAATCATACAACTTTCCAATTAGAAAGGATACTGGAAACCATTTGGTCCAGATTCCCATCTGAGCAAATACAAAGACAAACAAACAATATAAGTGAGGGAACATCATGAGAAATTCAAGACTTAGAAATCTAAGTGCTATGGATGAGAGCCAACCAACTTTCCCTACTGAGAACCAACTTCTTCTTTATATTCTCTTTCAGGTTGGCCTGCTAATCAAACAGGCTGCTGGGAAGACCAACCTGAAGAGAGTTACACTGGAACTGGGAGGAAAGAGTCCTTGCATTGTATTTGCTGATGCTGACTGTTAGTATGATTAATGCTTTTTTCTCTCACTTTTACCATGTCTCAGAGCAATGTTTCACCAATATTCTGCAATGTGCTAAATTATTTCTAACAAGATTTCCTGGGATGAGACTTTTTTTAAATCAACAAGCTCTTTCTGTTTGCAAGGTACTTTGCTAGGTTCTAGAGACCCAAAAGACAAAAATCAAAGCAGTTGCTCCTTTCCAGGGGCTTACATTTTACCTGAGTTTGCATTAGAATAAAACAAACAAACAAAAACTCCACTATCTTTACTTTTGGAAGATAATCAATGAACTAAAAAACTCTGAATTATGCTTCATGGTCTTCTAGACCTTATCATAACAGCAGGAAGGCTAAGCTCAGGTGCAAAGGATATATGGACTTTGTTAATTTATTTATTTTTAGTTTTCAACATACACTTCCACAAGATTTTGAGTTCCAAATTTTCTCCCCATCTCGTCCCTCACCCCTCCCCAAAACAGTGTGCATTCTGAATACTCCTTCCCCTAATATTCCCTCCCTTCTATCTCCCCACCCCTTCTCTTATCCCTTTCCCTTTTCATTTTCCTGTAGGGCAAGATAGATTTCTATACTCCATTGCCTATATATATCTTATTTCCCAGTTGCATGTGAAGACAATTTTTAACACTTGTTTTTAAAACTTTAGGTTCCAAATTTTCTCCCCTCCACCCTCCCCACCCATTCTCATTGAGAAGGCAAGCAACTTGTTACAGGTTATACATGCATAGTCATGCAAAATAATTCCATAGTAGTTATATTGTGAAAAACTAATGATATTTCCCTTCATCCTATCCTGCCCCCCATTTATTCTATTCTCTCTTTTGACCTTGTCCCTTCTTAGAAGTGTTTGCTTCTGATTATCCCCTCCCCCAATCTGCCCTCCCCTCTATCATCCCCTCACTGTTGTATCCCCTTCTCCCCTATTTCCCATAGAGTTAGATAGATTTCCATACCCAATTGAGTGTGTATGTTATTCCATCCTTAAGCCAAATCCAATGAGAATAAGATTCACTCATTCCCTCTCACCTTCCCCCACTTCCTCTCCACTGTAAAAGCCTTTTCTCGTCTGTTTTATGTAAGATAATTTACCCCATTCTATTTCTCCCTTTCTCCTTCTCCCAGTATTACCCTCTCTTACCTCTTAATTTTATTCTCCAGATAACAACCCTTCTTCAACTCCCCCTGTGCCCTCTATCTATCTATCTATCTATCTATCTATCTATCTATCTATCTATCTATATGTACATATAATTTTTCCCTCCAACTATCCTAATACTGACAAAGGTCTCATGAGTTACAAATATCATCTTTCCATGCAGGAATGTAAACAGTTCAACCTTAATAAGTCTCTTATGATTTCTCTTTCCTGTTTACCTCTTTATGTTTCTCTTGAGTCTTGTATCTGAAAGTCAAATTTTCTATTCAGCTCTGGTCTTTTTATCAAGAATGCTTGAAAGTCCTCTATTTCACTGAATGTTTATTTTTTCCCCTGAAGGATTATACTCAGTTTTGCTGGATAGATGATTCTTGGCTGTAATCCTATCTCCTTTGACCTCTGGAATATTATATTCCAAGCCCTCCAATCCCTTAATGTACAAGCTGCTAAATCTTGTGTTATCCTGATTGTGTTTCCACAGTACCAGAATTGTTTCTTTCTGGCTGCTCGCAATATTTTCTCCCTGTGGGGCAGCTAGGTGGCACAGTGGATAGAGCACCAGCCCTGAAGTCAGGAGGACCTGAGTTCAAATCCGGCCTCAGACCAAACACTTGGCATTTACTAGCCATGTGACCCTGGGCAAGTCACTTAACCCCAATTGCCTAAAAAGAAAAAAAATATATATTTTCTCCCTGACCTAGGGATATGTGAGCTTTGGACATGGTACTGTACCATCTACTTCCTGACATTTTTACTGCATAACTTTTTAGATGATATTGTCCTTGCTTTCTCTGTACCACCTTTAAGAGATGCTTGCTTTTAAAAGCCTTTTTTTCCCCACAAGTTAGTTCAGAAGGATTTTAAGAAGGTGAGAAAATTTCATCTAGTTAAAAGAAACTGAGTACTTGGGTTGTTATGATAAAGATGATGATAACAAAAAATAACAGTAAAACCTGGCATATACACATAAATATGTATATGTGTGTGTAGCTTGGAAAAGTGATTTACAAATAGTATCTCATTTGATTGTCACAACAACTCTGGAAAGTAGGTGACATTATTTTCCCCATTTTACAGTTGAGGAAACTGAGTTTAAGAAATCTGCCCAGGATCACATAACTACTAAGTGTCAGAGGCTAGAGTTGAACTCGGTGTTTTCTTGACTCTAGATTCTATCACTGTAAAATTTAGTGGTGTCTAACTTATCAAAGGGCAATATGGGAAGTCTCCTAAACTGAACACTAGATAGATTAAATTGTCCTTTCAGCAAGGAAATAAGTTGACCTTCACAATACGCAAAGTTTAAAAAAATTACACATAACTCCAAAGCTAAGTTTCTGGAAAATTAGTATATTAAAAAGACTATATTGTCTTCTCACAGAGACTTAACCATAAAGCAATCATGTAACTTTTAAATGTGCATATAACTAACTATCTCAACAATACATAAGCAGGTGTTTTTTGGTTTGTTTTTATTTGAAGGATATTAACTTACTTTTTGAGGCATTTTGAAAGATTCTTTCTGTAGAACAAGATTAAAAGATTGAAAGAAAAAAGGAAACTTCAGCTTTCATTCCAGTAGTCCCTTTTACCATAGCCAAGACAGAGAATAATTATTCAAGTCTTTTCAAAGTGATGTTTTGATGCAATTGAGCCCAAGAGACTTGTACAATCATTTCAACTTTTCCCCACTATCCACTTTTAACGCAGTCTCTATCCACAAATATTCCGTGACCAGGAGGTCCAAAAAGAGCCACAGAATATATGCTGTGTATTTTAAGGAGTAAAAGATACTTCCTATCCTCTTGGCAAAAAAGAATGTGTGCATGTGTGTCTGTGTGTCTCTGTGTGTATGTGTGTGTATGAACACGTCTTTTGGAAATGTGTTATCTTTGACTTTGTATAGCATTTATATAACCAGTGGTTTGGTGATGTTTCCTTTACAGTGGATAATGCTGTAGAATCCGCACACCACGGTGTGTTCTTCCACCAAGGCCAGTGCTGCATCGCCGCATCGAGGCTTTTTGTGGAAGAGTCTATTTACAATGAGTTTGTTCGGAGGAGTGTAGAGCGTGCCAAGAAATACACACTGGGGAATCCTCTGAACCCAGGAGTACAGCAAGGCCCTCAGGTTGGTAAATAAAGGAATGCACACAATAGAAAACAAAACTCAATAGAGAGAAGGGAGTTTGTCTCTATTTCCTTTCTCTGGATCCAGAATGAAATGAGAATGATGCTGGCCTTGCTTGTTTTCCTGGGCAAGACTGGAATAGATTGAAAAGATGTGCACAGTCAAGATTTCCCAACTTGGGGCAGGAAACAGAACTTCCTCAGGGTGGAATCAGGAAGATCTGAGTGGAAATCTTCCCTCAGACACTAACTATGTGACCATGAGCAAGGCTCTCAGTCTGTTTCCTCATCTGTAAAATGGGAATAATAGCACCTACCTCATAGAGGTTCAAATGAGAAAACATATGAATAGTATTAGGCAAAACTTAAAGTGATATATACATGCTATTATTATTAATCATTATTTATTTAAAAATAAAGCCCTCAGCCCTATTCTGTTCCTCTGTATTCAGGGAATAAATTGTCATAAAGGTATTCTCACATGCCCTCTTGCCTAGTACAGAAAAAAAGGAGTCTTGCTGCATAGCGTACCTCAAATGAACATCAGACTAATTCCTTTAACCAAAATGGGCATATTTTACACTTTTTTCACTAATGCACAGGTGATATAAGATCTAGAAGTGGGTGGAACATCATGAGGGCTTATACCTCAATATAAAATTCAAACTTTTCCTTCACTAAACTGCTTTTCTGAATTCAGGCCTAAACTATTGTCTCCTTTCTCCAACATTTTTTCCTGTTTCCTCCTTCCTCAGAAACTCTACTTCCCCCTAGTTTCTCTCATTCCACAGGCTGCCTTACAACCCATCCTTCCCTCTTGCCCCAACTTTTGCTCATTCCCATGACGTGTTAGATTTACTTAGTTAATACTTTATGAAGATAGAGTTTTTTTTTTAAAGATAACTTTAAGGCTAAGAAAGCTATTTAGATATATTTGCAATATTTAACCATTTTCTTTTTTTCTTAATCACAAGTTCAAAGAATCATTGTCACTCTAAGTTTAATTTTTCTTTCTTTTCTGTTATTCTTCCTTCCTCTGCCCCTCATATTTTCAAGTAGATTGATAAAGAGCAGTACAATAAAATAATTGACCTCATTGAAAGTGGGAAGAAGGAAGGAGCCAAATTGGAATGTGGAGGAGGCCCTTGGGGAGACAAAGGTTACTTCATCCAGCCCACAGTTTTCTCAGATGTTACTGATGACATGCGCATCGCCAAAGAAGAGGTAAAGGACTTGGTTCCATTCTGTTCCTTCAGTTACTTTCTTTATTGCTACACACTTGAACACAAAGCATCCATTTTTAAGACATAACTGGATGAATAAGTCTCCCCATAGATGAGAATCCACTCCCCCGCTCATTTTACCTTAATTGGTTTGTCTTGTTCATTGATAGAACTTTAGTTGTTGTCATGTAGGCTATGGAACACTGAGCACTCCCAAACCCTATGGCAATAATTACTAATTATCATATAGCAGTTCCAAACTACATTATACCCAAGTAATAGGAAGAGAAAATATTTCTATATGCTTAAAAACTTAGAAATCATAAAACAGCACATTAATTAGTATTTCTCCCTTTTCAATGATAAGGTACTTTCATAACACCTGCCTTTCCACAGGCCATTATTGCCTTGACTTCAATTCATAAAGTATAATTGAAGTCATTGTGCCAATTTAAGAATCATGGACCTTGGGGCAGCTAGGTGGCTCAGTGGATAGAGCTCTGGCCTTGGAGTCAGGAGGACCTGAGTTCAAATCCATCCTCAGACACTTGACATTTACTAGCTGTGTGACCCTGGGCAAGTCACTTAACCCCGGTTGCCTCACCAAAAAGAAAAAAAAAGATTCATGGACCTTGAAGAGACCAGGGATGGTGCGTGATGCAGAGCACTGCCTTTCATGCTCAGGAGTAACTAAGCCATACAGAATAAATTGCCGGTTTGTTGTTGCGATTTCTGGAGAGATGAAGACTTCACAACATTTTTTTCACCCTGACTTTCAAGAGGTTTTCCCTTCAATCTAACTCAAGTTTCTGCTTCTCTTTCCATTTAATGTCCTTATTCCATCTAATAATAATAATGATAATAATTGTTAACATTGAAATAGCATTCTAAGGATTACAGAATGCTTATTTTTGACAGAAATGTAGAGAACACGCTAGTTATATTTTCCTCACAAGAAAATAACCTTGGAGTTACTCTTTAGTCTTTTTTGTTTTTACATCAAACATATTCCTTTTACTTTTCCTTTTTCCAACAGACCTATTTGTTTCATCTTCTTAATAGTTGGATCATACTATTAGGAGCATAAGCTCATAGAACTAGAGCTGGGAGGGACCCAAGAAGACATTAACACTCCTTTATTTTCTAGATGAAAAATTAAGGCCTTGAGAGAGTAAACCATACAAGATCACACAAATAGCCCTCAAGGTGAATGTGAATTCATATCCTTTGACTCCAAAGCCAGTGAATGCTATCTCCCCTGAGCTACTCTCACCCCTCTCCAGTTTCTTAATATCTTTTTATATGGCAAAGATAAAAAAAAAAGCAATCATATTGAAACACAAGAATCTCTTTAGAAGATAATGTACTAGAAGCATTGTTCTTCAGCCCTAGAACAGAATGGTTTATAGCAATGCCTTTCAGGGGTATGCTGGAGGTTGTTCCACTTCAGAGCTAGTTGTTAAATATTCAAGTATAGTTATACTTTAAAAAACTTACTAGACTTGAGAAAAGGATGAAGGAAATATTAATAATGCCGATCAAAACTAAATCTGAGTCCCCATTTTTGGACAGCCAGTTGTACACATTTCCCAGTGTGTCCATGCATACTATCTTCATTTGTTGTTGTTGTTGTTGTTGTTCTGTCATTTCAGTTATGTGCAAAACTTCATGACCCCATATGGGGTTTTCGTGGCAAAGATACTGAAATGGTTTGCCATTTCCTTCTCCAGCTCATTTCACAGACAGGGAAACTGAGGCAAACAGGGTTAAACGACTTGCCCAGAGTCACACAGCTGTCTTCTTAAAGCCTATTTAACTTTTCAGAGAGTGCTAGAATCTCTGATCTCATTATCCTTACTCACACAGAGACATCGTGATATTATGGATAAGTGTTAGTATCCTGGTTGGAAAGACCTAGTTTTAAATCTTGCATCTCATACTAAATAGCTATGTAGACATGTCACTTAACCTCTGTGTGAGTCAGCCACTCCTCCGGACTTACCTACTAAGTAATAGCATGGTAATGCTCTGATTTTGTTGGCGGGAGTACCCAACACTGGTAAACTCAGAGATCCTTTATATATTTCTGTTACCTCACTCATTGTTATTACCCTTTTGACAAGTAAGATAATTGAGGTTTAGTGATGGTAAACTGACTTGCTTGAGGTATCACAGCTGGTTGATGGAAGTACGGGAACAGAATTCCAGTCCTCCTGATTCTTGCCTACAAATTCTTGGTATCAGACCATTTTGCCGTTGATGTTCATTTTGTTCCCCTTTACAATCAATCAATCTACCTTGCAGCGATATTCAATTTCAAAGGCTTCTGGCCATGTGTAAGTGTTTGTTTCTCTTTCAGAGAGGAATAACTTTGTTTTAAGAAAGTGATTTATCTGACTTTGTTTAAAGAATTCTTAGGCACCTGTGGATCATTAGTCCAATCTTTGCATAATACTTGTTGGCCAGATCTGAAATTAAATGTAAGGTTTGTAGAAGAAAATTAAGACCTAAGAACATACTATCTTACTCATGTTGTTTGTCTACATTTGGTATTTTTTTAATCTTATTGATGCCTTTTTTGATACCACAGATATTGCCCAATAAACTCCTTCTTCCATTGACTCTCCATTATTTTAAATAACAGGAAGAATTGACTGACAGAGTGATCAAGTATGACACCATATGTAATATTCTGCCTTGGTAGTTCTTATCTCTTTACCAAAAAGGAAGTGACCACATTAAGAATTGCCTAGGCTCATATCTTTTACAACTTCTATCAGTTCTTGGTTGAAAAAAAATGGAGTGTCTGGCCAGTGATTTGGAAAACTCAAAAGTATCAATATTGGTTTTAGACTTGGAGAGGATCTTTGATAGCACTTAGTACAACTTCCTTCTTTTACATATAAGGAAAGTTGGGTAAGCAAAAGTAAGTTGATTTGTCTAAGGTACTAGAGTAACATAACATTTTTTTCACCAGCAGCAAAGTAGCAACCTCAAAACCGAATGCATGATCCAAAAAATTAAAGATTTTTAAATATACTACAGATAATTCATAAAAAGCTATTTTTCCAGAAGGCATTTTGTATGTGGAAGAGTGAAATTAAAATTGATGACATCTCAGATTCAACAATTCTGCCAATGATAGGATTGACTTCCATTTCAAATTGGAACATCTATTTCAAATTGGAACTTCTATTTTCATATTGGGTTTTGTTCTCACCAACCTCTGAGCCATTTCCTGATAGGTAAATGGATATACTAATCTTTTTACAGTCAGTTAAGGGTACATGTAATTCTTTGCAATAGGAATATGTATGTATATATGTGTATGAGTGTATGTGTGTATGTGTGTACATACACTCACCTGGTATATACACAGACACACATTCCTTATTAGGTAGTGGCATGGGGATGGGGTTCAGAGCAGGTAGGCAGTATGTGGCACTAGTAGTCTTTTGGGCAGTGTTAGCTAGGGAAAGAAGGGGGAAATGAAGCTCATGCTGTCCATCCCCTTTCATAATAAACTAGAAAAAGTAAATGGAAAAACACACTCAAGGTTGGCCTGGTCAGGTTATCAAAAACAAATGCCAACACAAATTAAAGGCATTACAAACTGAAATTCTTACAGGTTCCCAAATATTTGAATAGCTTTCACTCGATTTCTTTTTCAATGAAATGTTCCCATTTCTTGGCTACAGCAGGACAGAAGGGGGAAATAGCTAAGATGTTACTTCAGAATTGTTATAGCATATCTGGAAGATAAGTGTCAAGGAAAACTCAAAAACCTAAAGCTGATTACAAATACTGAAATATTTATTCTGTCCATTGCCAGAACAAACAACTTTTTAGTTCTAAGAGGCAAGCCTTGAGTAATTTCTGTAACCATTTGGAAGTCCTGAAGTGTTTTTGAACTATTAACGTTTACTGATTGCATTTGCTCCTATAACTTAATGTGATATCTGCATTTAAATAAAAAACTCAATCTATTTAAATTTATGACTTTTCTGCTCCCATCTCCAACTCCAAATTCACAAGTAGTGGGTAGGGACAATACCCCTGGCTAGGTTAGGATCATAGCAGTAACAGGGTTAAGAGCTAGAAACCACCTTAAATATTATCTAGTCACATTATCTAATTTTAGGATGAAGATAATAGAGGCCCAGAGAGATGATGTGATTTTCCACAGTCAGTTTGATCATAAGCAAAAGACATAATTCTTACTGACTGGATCATGCATTCACTCGTGGGCCATAGGAGATGAAGGTGTGGAGCTGAGTACTGAACACTCAAGTCACTCCTTAGTTTTACCCAAGTTGTTTCCTCTATCTTAGGTTCAAAATTAGTAGAAAGACTCCTGGCTGTGGATACTGTTATGGGCTAGTGACCAGATCATAAAACATGCTTACTCTGACAGAATGTTTATCATTAAAATAATTCACACCCTGATGAATGCCTCCTTTCAGAAGGTCAGTGTTGACTTCTGGGGTTTGTTCTTGCTATAGGGTATCCCCAAAGTCTTAGTGCAGGTTTAACCTTTGATAGAAACTTAAAACCACCCCCAAGACTTTTGGGATGCCCTGTATTTGTGCAGTTTTCATCAAAAGTTAAGAGTAGGAAAGGAAGATTAAAAAAAGCCTTCACCTTAAATTTGATTTCTCACATAAATATCATTTATCTGAGGTATAGAATCATAGATCTAAAGTTTTGTAGGAGCCTTGGAGGTCATCTGTTCTAATCCCCTCATTTTACAGATAATTAACTGAGACTGAAAAAAGGCAAAGTGATTTGAGCAATATCAAACAGGTAGTAGGTAGCAAAGCCAACATGAGAACCCATGTCCTCTGATTCTGATTCTGCATTCTCTCCACCATACCATGGTGCCTCCTGACTTCTTTCCTATTAGGGACATTGATTCAACAAGTATTTATTAAATGACTACTACATGTAAGGTACTATACTTGTCACTGGGAACAAAAAACAAATCTAAAACCAAACTCTGATCTTGAGGAGCTTACAATCTATTTGACAAAAATTACTTGCCATTGATATCATTCTAATACATGAATGTGGGGACCAATTTACTCCAAAGTGATTTCATATGTCATTTTAGGAAAACTTCCACTTATAACAAACTTATCATGCTTCAATTCATGTCCCAAAGCAAAACAAACCAAAAACAGAAACAAAAGAAAAACCAAGAACAAACTGTCCGCACAACAGAAAGAGCAGTCAACTTTATCTGATTCATATTTATGTGCTTTCCCCTTGACTTTCTCTTTCATTCCCTCCACTTATTTCTTCCTCTCCTTCTTTCTATGGCGCAGATTTTTGGACCAGTTCAACAAATCATGAAGTTTAAAACTATCGATGAAGTGATCAAAAGGGCCAACAATACCCACTATGGCTTAGCAGCAGGTGTTTTCACCAAAGACCTTGATAAAGCCTTGACCGTTTCCTCCGCCCTTCAAGCAGGAACAGTCTGGTAAGTCAAAACTTAGTGAGGTAGTTTGTTTTTTTTTTTACGAGATTCAATCACATCTCAAATCACCTTAAGAGAAAAACTTGGACATTTGAAAAGCAACATGCTTTTCTTTCAAACCAGGCAGGCCACTGAGATGTAGATTTTTTTCTGCTTGTGTTCTAAGCTACTGATAATTTTGTAGATGAGCAATAGGGTAGTTTAATTGAGGTCTGTCTATCCTCTATGGTTTGTTTCTTGAAAATAATTTAATGAAATTTGTTGTTTAAAATCAAGTAATTGAGAGTATTGTGGTGTTAGTAAAAATAGTTTACTATTACTACTAAGACAAACAAATTTTAATAATCTATAACAATGTAAACATATTGTAAATAACACATATAAATATTTATAAAAATAAATAAAATATTCCCTAATATATAAAACATACATTATATAATTTAAATATTGTTTATAAATAAAATATAATATATAAAAAGTATATAAAATAATTTGTACAAAATATGTAACATTATTACTATAAATACTACAATAAATACTATTATATGATAATATAAAATAAAACTATTATAATAATAAGTAGATTTTATGCAGAACTTTAAAGATTGCAAAGCACTTTACAAATCTTATCTCATTTTATCCTGAGAGCAATCCTGGGAGGTCGGTGATAGAATTGACTACATTTTAAAGATGAGGAAATGGAGGCATTTATGTAACTTAGTCAACGTCACACATCCAGTGAGAACCAGCCTTGGAATCAGGAAGACTGATGTTCAAGGCCTTCCTCTGACAAACACTAGCTGTGTGGCAAGTCATTTAACCTCTTGTGTTACAGGATTATGTTAAAGCATAAGTTGTCTTGCTCCATCAATGGAAAGGATTTCCAACTCAGAGTGAAAACTCTACCAGTGAAATTACAGGTCCAATACAACAGGGAAAAATTAATTAATCAATAAAAATTTGTTAGTGTCTGTTACATGCTCAGCACTGTACTAATTGATGTAGAAGGCACAGTGTTATATGTTAAGATTACATATTTTTATTTGGGGTCTAGACTTATAATGTCATTAGTATAGAGATCTCCCATGAGGAAAACCCCACTGCCAATGCATATTAGCACCTGCCCTGAAGCTTGGAGAGATGTCTTAGAGGTATTTTCAAGAGCTGCCAGTGGCACTGAGAAGTTAGTAACTTGCCCAGAGTCACACGACCTGTATGGTTGAGAGGCAAGAACTGAACCCTATCTTCTTGGTTATATTTAGGGACATGTTATTTAGAGTTGAAAGGAAATTTGGGATTCATTTAGTCCAACCTCCTGAATGTGATAGATGAGAAACCTGAGTCTCAAAGAAGTTAAGTGACATGTTGAAATCACACAATAAGGAACAGAACTGGAATATGACACCAAGTCCCTTGACTCTAAATTCAATTATTTTCCTACACTCATACTTCAGAATGATATGGCAGCCTTCTGTGATTAACCTCTTTGTCCTGTTTCTTATAGGAATTACCTGTTCTCAGATTAGCTACTGTATCAGCCTTTGGAGTCACATTGTAATTTTGTAGTACCTGCCTCCTAGTCATTTTTGGCCTTACCTTAGGCTAGACAAGGTATCATTCATCTAGTTATTCCTTCTTAATCCAAACTATTCTTTTGATGCTTTCTTCTACCTACATTCTCCACAATAGCTAGAGCTAATTATCTATACAAGTATATATACATACATACATGCATACATACATACACACATACATTTTGTGTGTGTATGTGTGTGTATAATGTGTGTGTCTGTGTATGTATATTATACACTGGCATGAGCAGTCTAGATAGACTTCCTTTTTAGTGAGAGTTCTAACTTCCAGTATAAGAAGCACTATCCTAAACAATTCCTGGAACCAAAAGATTTTTCTCACCTTAAGAATTTCCCAGTTGTTCCACTATCTGTTCTGTGGGGATTTCTAAGCATTTAAAAATCACCTCTGCTTTTACCTTTAAAAACATGCTATGTTCTGAGAACTTTTATCAGTGGTTCCAGAGACGAAAAGATACTAAAGCGTACAAGCCCAAAATTATGAGTTACCTAAAGAATATGGGTTTTGCTGATTCCTATGCTCTCTTGACAGGTTTTTGTAAGTGTATGCCCACTCTCCCCCACAGATACTAAGTGCTATGGTGAGAGATTATGACTTAAGAAGTTCAGTGGATAGAACAGTGAGCCTGGAATCAGAAAGACCTCAGTTCAAATGTGACCTCATACTTGCTAGCTGTGTGACCCTAGGCAAATCACTTAACCTCTATTTGCCTCCATTTCCTCATCTATGAAATGGGCATAATAATAACACCTTCCTTATGAAGCTATTTGATCTAATGACATAGTAATTATAAAGTGCTTAGAACAGTATCTGGCATATAGTGAGTGTTATATAAATGTTAGTTACTATCATTATTATTACTTATAGGCTGTAATATGTTTCATTATTCAAGCATTTCCTTTAATACATCAATACCTGCAATGTTGTTGTTATCCATTTTTTGCCTTATTGTTAAGTAAATGATTATATTTAAGACTTGAAAGTGTCATCATTGTGAGTGGCTTGTTCACATAAATGGAAATGTATCAGTGGGGCCTCAAGAAATAACATGGTAAAAATACTGAGTATATATCCCCCAGAACATGCTTAACCCTAAGACCACAAGAGAATTTTAATAATTTTAATAATAATAATAATAAATAATGGTATTATGGAAGTCCATTTCATTGGGAACTTTAGGCCCTTCACTGAGAGGGCAGGTTGAGTAAGATAGTCCACAAAGTAAGTGTTGATATACTTATATGAGAGGTGTGAAATATTAAGTATGGGTAACTAGCCCCATTACTTCTTATACTAATAATATCAGTTAATATTATTTTAAGTATTCACAACACAGTTTATAAATATTAAAAGCCTCTCTTGTGATGCAATCCACTAAAATGTAATAAAAATATAAGTTCTTTTGGTTTCTTGAGTGTCACATAGGCTCCGAAACAAGTGGATGGGCCTGCTCTCCTCCAGCAGAGGGGGTACCCATATAGATGAGATGACAACACCATTGAATTATTGAAGTAAATATATAAATTACTCTAGAGTTAATAGCTAAAGAATCAAATGCTTTCACCTTTTTAGTTCATCTAAACCAAGAAAATTTTGCATTAATTACCTGCTGTAAATCTTATGGAGAGGTAGGTTTTTCTATTGAATTAAAAAGATGGCCTCAAAATCTTGAAGACTTTGGTTCAAGGCCTACTTCTGACATAGATTGGCAATAGCTCTGGAAAAGTCATTTGACTATTAACTGTCCTAGAGCAATTTAGGACTGTAAGTTGCACAGCAGATATAGATCTGCTTTTATGGAGAAACATTTTTCCCTGGGAGTTCTATATCCAAATGAAATTACAGGTCTGATCCAAAAGTTAAAAGAGGTTTTTTGTAAAACACTTAGCACAGTGCCTGACACATAGTATATACATAATTAATGCTTATTTTCTTTCCTTTCCTACCTTCCCTTCCAAAAAAAAAAATCAAAAGAACTTCATACATGGTAAGCACTAAACAAATGCTGATTGAAATACACCAAAATGTTAATGTAAAATACCTTTGTCTTTGCAGGGTGAATTGCTATGGTGGGGGTTCTTGTCAAGCCCCTTTCGGTGGATTCAAGATGTCTGGAAATGGGCGAGAAATGTACGTAAGGCCTTTTGGCATTTTATGTAGCATATCTACTATATGTGTTATTTAGGATGTGTCTTCATGACACCAAAGGAGAAGAAGGGGGAGGAGGAGGAGGAGAATTTTCCCATGTGCTCAAGAATAAATTCAGAGTCTCTTTTTTATCTACTGTCCTCCTTCCTTTTTTTTAGGAAACTATAAGTCCAAATAGCTCGTTGAATCTTAGGTTCCACAAATTAACATGAAAAAGTGTATTCAAATAGATAAAACTACATCCTTTCATTTACAGAAATAAGAATTGTTTCTGGACAAAAAATAAAAATCAAACTAGAACCATATTCGTGTTTATTTAAAGAATTATACAACTTGTTTTTCTTTATAAATTCTTAATTATAAAAAAGTACTAATTTTTTCATTTTTAAAATACATAGGAGCTATGTTAGCTTCTCAGTTTTAAGCAAGGTCCTTCCATTTCATCCCAGCCAACAAAATAAACATACTATGGAATATAATTGGCTGGTAATAAATACTTGAATGTTTAATTCCTCTGTAGGATTTTTATAGTGTTCGCATATTTAGAAGTATTGTTTTCTTCTTGTTTTGCTGTATCTATTTGGTGGTGATTATTTAAAAGAGTATTAGAATTCTCAATGGTAAATCTGTCTATTGAATGGTCACCTTTAATCTCATCGATAATATTTTAATAATCACTGTAAAACGATTCTTGAACACTGTGAAGACTTAGCTTCCTCCTTTTTGGTGGTCACCTAGAAAATATATGTATACTTCTCACTCATGTCTTGAAATTCCACTCAAGTAGAGACAAACTAGGGACTTTGTATCAGGTGCCAACCTGAAAAGAAAGGAATATTTACTCTCCCCATGTTATAAATGTTCCCGTACTCCCTGCCTCACTGGCTGCCAATCTACACTTCTTCAGAAGTTTGGAGTTACAATAGGGGCTCTAAGAGATGAAACAAGGTCACAGCTCTTAGCAGATTGACAGGGAGGCAGGCCACCCCTTTACCCATTGAAATTGCACATAGTTTAACTGTCCTTTCTACATACTGTGCCCTATCCCCCTCCAATTGTCCTCTGTACTATGTTGCTGTCTCACTCCACTCCTTGCCCTCCATCCATTGCAAGTTACTTACATAGCTAGATATTTCCCTGCTATTGACTTTGGAAACTATCCTAGTATGTCAGCTCTGTGTCTAATGTATTGCTTAACTATAATAAGAACATCAGTTTTAAAACTTCCGATTTCTAAAGCAATATACCTGGGCAACCAAAAAAGCCATAACTTTTTATATGATTTTATAAGAGAAGAATCATCAATACAGAAAATACCTCTAATAGTTATTGCTTCTATTCTTGATATTTCTGAGAAGATAAAATGTTTATGAAGGCATTAATCCTAAAGTTTTTGTGGATGGTACATAAATGGGATTTTGAGAACATGGGAAATTATCCATGTAGAAATATCTTCTATTGATATAGATCAACAACTCATCTTTTATGCGTAGTCTTTGAGATTTGAAGCCCTTAGACGTTAAGTGATTTACCCATGGTCACATAGCTAGCACGAGTCAGAGGAAGGATTTGAACCCTGGCCTTTTTGACTACAAGGCTTTCCTTCTAGCCACTACCCTACCCTGTCTTATATCTGCCCTAACAAAAAAACCCAAATTCATACTGAGACATTGACTATATTGTATGGATAACAGTATCTCAAATGCAATTTTGAATTTTTTCCCCTCCAGGGGAGAGTATGCTCTCCATGAATACATAGAAGTCAAGACTGTCACAGTCAAGATTTCTGAGAAGAACTCATAAGAGTGGCACAGGAGATGGTGCTCCATATCATCAATGAATGACCCTAAAAAGTGAAAGATATTGTTACAACTGTCATTTTACCTGATTATTTGCATTAGCTGCATAAAAAAAGTTATAGCTAAAACATGCCATGTGCCTTCTTACTCTCATGTAAACATGGTGAATCCTGTTCTTCCTGAAATTTGGGGAGTGTAATCAACCCAAGATCTCTCAATTATTAGAACAATCATGAGTTTTTCTTAGCAGATAATTCTTGCAGAATTTAAGCCATTAAAAAAAATTAAGAGGGTCATTTATTATTTTACTTCTTCTTTCTGTTAATGGTTAATTTAAACTTAGTGCACATGTTATGTTACAAAACAAATGTACTCTGTTCACTGATGCTATTAAGTCATCTTTACCTTTGGAAACAATCCTTCTCCGTGAAAATAATTACTATGTTTAATGAAGTAATAACCACTCTGCTTAACTGTCATTTCAATATCAGATTCATTAAAATAATCTTATATAATACTGTGTACATGTGGACATTTTAAGAATAGATCTTCATTGTGGAAGTTTCAATTTCATATAATGTAAGATGTACTTGGTGTTGAATTGGTCATGCATTTTATTTTTTAAGTCTAAAGAATAGAAACCTGAGATTTTCCTCATGAAGGAATTGTGTTGTTTTGTTTTTTGTTTTTAATTTCACTTAAGTGTTATGATTGCCATATTGAAGAATGTGGAGGGGAACTGGATAAACATAGAAGAATATCAAGGAAGATGGTGATACTGCAAGTTATCAAATTTATATTCTCTATGGGAACCCAAAATCAGGGTTACAGATTTGAAAGGTAATTTGGAAGTCATCTACTTCAACCGCCTCATTTTTCAGATGGGGAAACAGGGCAGATAGGTTAAATAGTTATGAAGGTCACAAATGTGACAAATAGCAAAGCTGGAACTTGAACCCAGGTTCTCTGGCTCCAAATTCAGCACTCATTCCCATTGTACCACCCCTATGAATTTGGAAGAAGAGGGAAAGTAATTGGGAGCTGCTTTAGATACCAATCCATGCAAGCCTTCCAAGTCAACTTGTTGAATATGATGGAATTATTGGGAAACTCTGGTCTAAGCAGTAGTAATAAACATTTACTTTACTTGTCATCCATGCTCTTGGCCATCCTCAGTTTTCTACAGACACCTACATCTTCCTACTGATATAACTTCCCATATGAAATATTAATCTTTGAGGAACTCAATGTCTTGTCCTCTAAGAAGCCTAGGAATGGCTGAATTCATAGGATCACAGATTTAGAACTGGAAAGAATATCAGAGATCGTTTACTCTAATCCCCTCATCCTATAACTCAGGCAGAATGAGGGAAAGTGATTTGCCCAGGATCACAGAGGTGGTAACAATCAGAGCTGTTATTACAACCCAGACCCTCTGACTTCAAAAGCAAAACCCTTTCCTCTATATTGCCACTATGTGCTGCCTTTCTTCCTATTCATAAAATTAAAACTAGGCACCTTTACTTTTCCTTGAATCATGTTGTTTAGGAAATTTGCGCATTTTGTTCTTGATCTTCACATTTCCCCAAATTATTATTTAATCAGACAATTGCAAAGAGGGAGAAAAATCAAGATATTCCTTTTGACTAGATGAACCACTTTTGCTTATCATTAAATTTATGTTCCACAGAAAGAGGGTTAATTTTTATTATATTTCCTCCAATGAAGCTGTAGAAAATACACATAAAGGAATATGTCAAAATAAATATGAAAAAGGTGACTGCCAAATCCTTTGTTAATTATACATTTTCCCTATCTTACCCTGACACACCATGAAGACCTTTCCCATCAACTAATGATATCAGTGCCTTCATCCATAAAATATACAAATCTAAATATAATAATGTAAGATAACTCATAATTTTTTTAACCATTTTATGATGTCTTCAAAAGGAAAGGTAGAAATTAGTGTCTTTGGTGAGAAAAGGTCCCAAGTATGAAGCCCAGAATAATAAAGCAGCTAGGTGGCACAATCAATAGCATGTCAAGCCTATAGTTAGGAAGACCAGATTTCAAATCACAGACACTTACTAGGTATGTAACCTTAGCCTCTGTTCACTCATCTGTTAAATGGAGCTATGAAAAGCTTCTTTCTCCCAGTGTTGTTGTGAATAAATGAGATAATATATGTAAAACACAATACAGTGCCTGGCACATAGTAAACATTATATAAATGTTAGCTGTTTATTATTACAGTTACATGTATGCACTTACATAGAATTTTAAAATTTGCAAAGCACTTTACATATGCTATTTTTCACGATCTTTGGGTGGGGGGCAGCCTGTGAATTATGTGCTATTATCCTCATTTTACAGGTGATGAAACTGAGAAGTTCAGTGAAGAATTCAAGAAATAGAATTGGGTGATTTGTTAATGGTAATGCGCAAAACAGCATATTAGTCAGAATTCCAACTTAGATCTTCTTGACCCCTAAGCTAGCACTCAATCTATAGCACTACCTTGCTACTTAGAATGATCCAATGTAGCCACATAAGACAGAAATTTTATAGGAAAAAAAACTTTTACAGGTAGGTAATAAGAGGCATGTTGTGTTAGACAAAATAAATTATTTTAATAATACCTTACTGTCCTTCATATATAAAGATGTTATCTCTGGCATATTTAATGAATTTTGAAATGCTTTTCTAATAGTGGTAATAGGTTTGCTGTAAGCATTAATAGTGAAAAAGGCCTCATTTTTTAGATGACTACCTCAATTTTGAAGTACAATGATCGCAGAACCAAATGTCTTCTATACCAGAAACAGATAGCAGAATTCTGCGCTCATGGGGTTCCATAAACAAGAAGTGCACCAGTAGCAACTGCTGCTTGAATCATATATGCTCAGCATCAATGAATGATTTATGGGGTTTTTTTAAGTTTTATTGATGCCTTTTGTTTTTCTGTCATTTCTACATCTAACCAGATACTTTTAAATGAAGCAACAACTCCTAAACACCCCAGAGTGTTTACAAAATTGCTTTTTTGAAAAAATAGCTAACGCATATAGGAGCAACAGCGTGTGATAGGCTTGAAACTAGGAAGAATTGAGTTCAGACAGCACATGCGCACACGTGCACGCATACACACACATACACACACAAGCACACACAATTAACTATATGATCCTGAACAAATCACTTAACCTCTCTGCATCTAAAGCTATGGCCCAAGACTTATCTACAAAGATGTAAATAAGTTGTGTTTTGAGTTGTTGGAGGGAATTCACTAAACTGACAAAATCATTGATGGTATCTGTATTCACATAAGTTACTAATGTCCCACCACACAAACACAGAACAGAACAGGTGTTTATTATTCCCTTCTTGATTTTGAAGTAAAATGAGTGAACTGAAAGTGAAAATGAAGAATGACAAATGACAAAGAGTTGTTCAAGAAACAATTATTAAGCAATTATTACTGGGCACAGTGCTAAGCACTGGGGATATAAAGAAAAAGCAAAGTTCTTAGTTTTTGAAAACGTTCTGAAGAATAATACCCTTGATATTGATATCCATGCTAGGTTGTCAGTATCATATTATGTGTCCCCAGGCAACTGGGGTGGGGGATGATCTTAGAACGTGGTACTGTCTGCCCTGGATGAATGCTTCATCAAAATGAACCAGAAATGAAGGTTAATATTTAGTTATCTAGACCTGGAAAAAATATATAACTCTCTGTGCAAAAACTTCTCAGGCTTATTAATACTTTGAAAATGAGTTTGCTTACCAATAATTTGAGGTAATCATTTTGAATGACTGTGAGGAACTGAAAATTCCAGAGAATAAGCCTCAACAAACATTAAAACTTAGTTTAAAAATAATTTATATACTGGGAATCCAAAAAATTTCAGTGCACATTTTTAAATTTCTGGATTGCTCCATACCCCTCACGACACATGGAAGTCCCCAGTGGCTCCATTGGTCAGCGCTGGAATTCATCTTGACCAAAAGGATGAATTGTTGAATGCAGCTAATTATGAGCTGACCTAGCTGGACCCCAGAGCCAAGAACTGCTTGAAGAACAAACTGCCTGAGGAACTATTTCTGTTATTTCTTTGGGCACTCCCTGTTGCTACACCTGAGGACTGCTATTCCAGAGAATGTTCACACCTGCAGCTGCACTGTTCCAAGAATTGTACCCCAGTCTTCCTGCTCTGGTATTCTATAAGAACCCCATGTCCAACCCCCTCCTCAGGCAATCAAGTACTTTGATGCTGTGCGGTGGCCCCAAATTGCACTTTCCTTGCTTCCATTAAAGATCCTACTTTTCGTTACTTTGGTACTCTTCTTTATTTTAGGTTGACATTTGCAAAGCACCTTACAAATATTACCTTATTCTATCCTCACAACAACCCTGGAAGAAAACTCTTGTTATTATTATTATTGCAGATTAGGAAACTAAAGCACACAGAGGTTAAGTGACTTGCCCAGGGTCACACAGGAATTTAAGTGTTTTAGGCAAGGTTTGTCCTCAGGTCTAAGTGACTCTAAGTTCACGTGCTTTATCTTGTTTGCTACCAAGTTGCTTTTCATGAGGGAGTTCCTGAATTTGCAGTGGTGTGTTTGCATCCAGGGTGAGGTGGGACCCTGAGGGCTTCCCAGACTCTACGTGAGGTCCCTCACAACCATCATCACCACCGCTGAATTTGCCTCAGGGTCTAGAAGTCCAGGTTACTTTCAGTCATTAATATGCTTGTAATTTACTTCAGCATCTAAAAGTGAACTTGCACACAAAATCAAATGGTCTGAATCACTTCCCAATTAAATTCCTTAAGGCACCTAACTGTTCACTTAACATTCAGAGCTCTTCTTGTAGTTTTCACCCTTCAGGGACAGTCTAACAACTCATTTAGAAAGAGCAATTGGCTGCCTTTGCGCACAAAGGTTTGTCTTCTGTCCAACAATTTTTCAGACCAATGTGCAATGATCACTACTATTATCTACATTCTGCATTGCCTAGTGAAATATATCAATTTGGTGAATGACATAGTCATTGGAAACGTAATATTCTGGAAGTGACTCTTTAGATAATGTGCCAAAAAGTTTTAGGAATTTAATTTGTGTGTAGAGTAGAGCTCGCAAAAGCCTATATACTTACCATTCAAGGTTTGTTTTGTTTCTAAAGTAGCTGAAGGCAGGGTGGAAATAATAAAGCATAAACCCAGATGTGGGTGGAAACATCTTTTCAGTTCAGTGCTTCCTTCAGATCATATTTCCTAATCCTGAAGGCAGTTTATAGTAACACTGTATGACTCCACTTTCTTAACTCATAATCATCAAGATTTAAAGTGAACACTCATAAAAAAAAGTAAGTACCCATTAAAAATGCTTGTATTAGGTGTAAAAGAAGTGAGTAAATGTGGTTCCATAACCTGCTTCTTGTAAGTGTTCATATTTATTTCAATTTTACCTGCTTTGAGAATTCATTTTTAATATCTTAATAGCTTGACATTTATCTCTTCAATGTTAGCATTTTGTGGCTTTACAAATGCCTTATTTCTCAATTCTAAATGGAAACTAAGATAATACTGAAAACTATATGCAATGTGGTTGATGCAAGAAAATATTAGAAATCAAGATTAATAAGAGTTAAACTGCTGTAGTGATATAGAAAGGAAACTAGACTGAGTTAAATGAATTGGGGCAAGTCACTTAACTGATAGAGCATATGAGTCTCCCCATTTTAAAGCTAAGGTAATACATGTCAAACTCCCATAGACTGACAGATAAATAAACTAATAGATGTGAATGTGCTCAGGAAATACGAAGAATGTTGTAAATGTAAGGTGGCATTGATGAGTAATGTCTGACCATGTCACCTCCCCTATCTCCCCTTTACTCAATAAACTCCAGTGGCTCCCTATCTTCCCCAAGATCAATTATTTAGTCCTCTGTTTAGTGTTCCATGGCCTTCATATCTTTACCCCACAACCTGTCCTTAAAAAAAAAAGACACTCCATCTTCAGACTCCTCCTCCAGACTCTTTGTATGTGTATTCCAAGCTCCTAGAACAATACTTGGCAAAAAATGGTGCTTAATAAAAAATTGTGGAGTGATTGGTTAATTAATAATGAAGAATTTGTGTTGCTA